TTCCGACATGAACACACAGTCTCTCTCTCTCTCGTTCCCACTCTCTCTCTCTCTCTCTCTCGTTTTCTCTCACTCTCTCTCGGTCTCTCTCATTCTCTCGCTCTCTCGTTCTTGCTCTCTCGCGTTCCCACTCTCTCTCTCTCTCTCTCTCTCTCGTTCTCTCTCTCTCATTCTCTCTGGTTTTCTCTCTCTCGTTCTCTTTCCCGCTCTCTCTCTCTCTCCCGCGCTCTCTCGCTGATGGCTAACATACGGGGCAAATGCTTGGCAATGAGAGGCAGGAGTATCCGGAGGGAGTAGAGTTAGTCTGAGTTAGTTACAAAAATAAACACACAGCCAGGCGGACGCTTGGTAGACGAATTCCAACCATACTGCGCGGCAATCATTTGCTGACACATCTCCTCCCTTCCTTCCTCCCTCCCTCCCCCCCCCACCCATCCACCCACGGCGGATGTCACGGGGAGGGGGAGGGGAAGGAGAGGCCACCCCCCCCACCCCCCAACTCTCCCACCGTCACCGCCTTTGCCACCACTGTGATCACCGCAGAGAAACAACTGCCCTTGTTACCACGATCCCGTCTCAGCAATTACTGCCGAGTGTAGTGACTGTTTTCCGTAAGCGAACATGGCAGGAAGCAGCTGGGGAGGACTGCCGGCCCGCAAACCTGGAGGAACTCCCTCGTCTCTTCCAATTCTGGCGCAAGAGCTTTGACGCCCAATTTAAATGGCAGACACAACCTCGTTTTAATGTCTCATCTCATCCAAAAGATAGGGGATTGGGGTTAGAGTAGAGAGCTCCAGTGGGGGAGCGAACCCCAGCACAGACACGATGGGAGGAGAGAGCGAGAGCAGGGAATGGGGTTAGAGTAGAGAGCTCCAGTGGGGGAGCGAACCCCAGCACAGACACGATGGGGAGAGAGAGCAGGGAATGGGGTTAGAGTAGAGAGCTCCAATGGGGGAGCGAGCCCCAGCACAGACACCATGGGGAGAGAGAGAGAGCAGGGAATGGGGTTAGAGTAGAGAGCGCCAGTGGGGAGCGAGCCCAAGCACAGACATGATGGGGAGAGAGAGAGAGAGCAGGGAATGGGGTTAGAGTAGAGAGCTCCAGTGGGGGAGCGAGCCCCAGCACAGACACGATGGGGAGAGAGAGCAGGGAATGGGGTTAGAGTAGAGAGCTCCAATGGGGGAGCGAGCCCCAGCACAGACACCATGGGAAGAGAGCAGGGAATGGGATTAGAGTAGAGAGCTCCAATGGGGGAGCGAGCCCCAGCACAGACACGATGGGGAGAGAGAGCAGGGAATGGGGTTAGAGTAGAGAGCTCCAGTGGGGGAGCGAGCCCCAGCACAGACACCATGGGGAGAGAGAGAGAGAGCAGGGAATGGGGTTAGAGTAGAGAGCTCCAGTGGGGGAGCGAGCCCAAGCACAGACACGATGGGGAGAGAGAGAGAGAGAGCAGGGAATGGGGTTAGAGTAGAGAGCTCCAGTGGGGGAGCGAGCACCAGCACAGACACGATGAGAAGAGAGCAGGGAATGGGATTACAGTAGAGAGCTCCAATGGGGGAGCGAGCCCCAGCACAGACACCATGGGGAGAGAGCGAGAGCAGGGAATGGGGTTAGAGTAGAGAGCTCCAATGGGGGAGTGAGCCCCAGCACAGACACCATGGGGAGAGAGCGAGAGCAGGGAATGGGATTAGAGTAGAGAGCTCCAATGGGGGAGTGAGCCCCAGCACAGACACGATGGGGAGTAATTTTCTATGATTACCCGAGACGTGCGATTTCAGCACTGACCTGGGATGTAGCTGTAAAAACTGGCAGCTGAGCGGGGCTCAGTCCATTTGCTGGCAGGGTTTTAATGGCAGGCCGCGCTTTATATATTTGTATAATACTCAATGACGGCATATTTCCACTCGTTCACCGAGCAACTTTAATCAACACAGTCACGCTCATTTCTCCCAACTGACAAGTTTACAAGCAGTGAAAACGACAGGACCCTGAACTCTCTCCCTCTCTCTCACTCCTTCCCTCTCTCAAATCCTCAAACGAGAAAATTGAGTAGGAAATTGGGGCTGGAAAGAGCACAAAGTCAGTGACAAGGGGATAACTTGCAAATGATTATTCCCGCTGGACGGTAAAGCGGTGGTGGGGGGGGGGGGGGGGGTGGGAACATGGGACTCAAGCTTGTGGCTGTTGCTGGAAGGGTAGGGTAGGAGAGGGAGGGAGGGAGGGAGGAAGAAATGTTTTCGCTCAGAACTCGGAAAATTTGGGCAGAATTAGACAAGGAGAGAATTGGATAAATATTCCGTAACAAACATTTAGGGACAAAGATATAAACCTGTGTTCCCTGTAAATCCCTCCCCCTCAACCTTCAGCTTCCACCCCCAGCTCGGGCTCCTGGCCGTTTTAAGTGTTAAGTACTCCCAAGTCGGTGACAGTCGGTGCGTCCACACTCCCAGGTCAGGGTTAGAGACACAGTAACGCTCTCTCTACACTGTGCGTCCACACTCCCAGGTCAGGGTCAGAGACACAGTAACGCTCCCTCTACACTGTCCATCCACACTCCCAGGTCAGGGTTAGAGACACAGTAACGCTCCCTCTACACTGTCCGTCCACACTCCCAGGTCAGGGTTAGAGACACAGTAACGCTCCCTCTACACTGTGTGTTCACACTCCCAGGTCAGGGTTAGAGACACAGTAACGCTCCCTCTACACTGTGCGTCCACACTCCCAGGTCAGGGTTAGAGACACAGTAACGCTCCCTCTACACTGTGCGTCCACACTCCCAGGTCAGGGTTAGAGACACAGTAACGCTCCTCTACACTGTGCGTCCACACTCCCAGGTCAGAGTTAGAGACACAGTAACGCTCCCTCTACACTGTGCGCCCACACTCCCAGGTCAGGGTTAGAGACACAGTAACGCTCCCTCTGGCTATACCTTATGATAATAAGAGAAAGGAGTTTCCAATGGCCCGAATGGGCGGTTCGGAGCTGTAGACACACCTGTGCCATCCTTCAGTGTTGTGTTTCTGGGATGCGTGACCCACCATACCACACTGCGCCACAGGGCGGCAGCAAACCCCTTCTCATGTGCCCTTTCCCTTGTCCTGAGCCCTGTCCGTCCCCCGGGGACCTGTTTACCTGTCTCCCGCTTCACGATTCTCAGCATTTTAGTCGTATATGAATCATTCTGAACTTCTGCCTTTTTCCAATTGCCTGCCCCTTTGTCTGCAGAGAGGTTCTCTGGCGTACATTTTATAGCTACCCCTTCAAAATAAAACAAACAATGAGAATTTGGTCGCTCGATCCACGGCGGTTTGTGGGACGCTGCTGTGCGCCATCGGCTGCTGCGTTTCGTAATATTAATATAACATATTATCATCCTTTTCACCCACGAAACATACAGCCAATTCCTGTGAAACATTTTGAGACGTGTCGACCACGTGATAAAGCACTATATCAAATCCAAGGATTATTATTATTATTATTATTATACAACATCTTTACCACCCCCCAAAATAAAACATTTCAAAAAGGTTCACGGGCAATGAACGCTGCCAACTGCTGTGCATTTTATAGACAAACACAGCAGCCAATTTTATTTGGGGGGTTGCTGGCCAGGACACCGGGGGAGGGAGAGAAACAGACAGAGAGAGAAAAACTCCCTTCTGTGTGGGATCTGTAACGACCACCTGAACAGGCGCAGACGGGACCTTGAGTTAGCGCCTCACGTGGTTTGGTGGCACCTCTGACAACACTGTGCTCCCCCAGTGCTGAATTGGAGCGTCAGCCTCCAGGAATTTGGGGCGAAGGTGGGAGTTGAGTTACAGATCAGCCATGATCTGATCGGTGGGGAGGGGGGGTGGGGGGGCCTTGATCCAATCTTTAGGGCTTCCTTCCAGAAACATAACATATACGGGTTATGGAGGGAGCGAGTGGGACAAATAAAATGGGAAGGGACGGACGGAGGGAGGTGGTGGGGTGGGGCAGATGCCTGTCTCAGGCAATGCATACGAAGTCCCCAACGTGGTGGGCTTGAACCCACAACCTTGTGACTGGGAGGCGAGAGTGTGAGTGACGGAGCCAGGCAGGCACCGACCGGCGTGTCTTGCGGTCTTGAACGTACCTGTTTCCCGTGCCCCGCGCGCAGATCCCAGCCGCTGCCGTCAGCGAAAACCAAGGAGTAATCCTCCACACGTCAAATAAATAAACCTTTTATTTCATCAAAATATCATCGAACCGCATAGCAAAAACATTGAGGCGTCTGTACCCATTCCGTCTCCTCTGAGAAACAGCTCAGCTTTAACATCACATTCATCGCAATGTCTGTCTCTGACTGTCTCTCCTTCTGTCTGTCCGTCTGTCTGTCTGTCTCTGTAAATGTACTCGTCACCCGCATACAGCGATCACACTCTCCACACTTTATAACAATCCGAGAATAAAAGCTGACTTATAAGCACCGAGTCACAGCTTGCAAGTCACTGAGCCAAGTGTGTGTGTGGGGGGGGGGGGGGTGGCATTGTGATACCTTCCACTCAACCGAGGTGACACAGTGAGATGAATACATCGTGTAATATCTCTCCCCTTCTTCTCATCCCTCTCCCTCAGCCCTAGCACAGCTGGGGGTGGGGGGGGCTATGGTGAGGAGAGGGGGCAGTCAATGACTCGCCCCACCTTGTAGCCTGGGAAATGTTGGCACTGCATAATGTTTTGAACGAGAGAGAAACCAATAGAGGACATATTAATCCCCTCGTTCAATATCCCTGCCCCCCCTCCTCACCTCCTCTCAGCCCTATTTGTTCACTCTGCCCCCCCCATTCCACTCGCTGTTGTTTAGTGGCGATCATCCTCCCCCCCTCCACTCTATTCCAAGGACACAATTACTCAATGCATGAGCTCCCCCCACAGCCCCCTTCCCTGTAGGATGGCACCTCTGACAGCACAGCGCTCCCCCAACCCCCCAGCATTGCACTGGGGCATCAACTAGACTGTGAGCTTAACGCGGGGGGGGGGTGAGGTGAGATTGAACCAACAACCTTCTGACTGTGAGGCGAGAGGCGCTGCTGGGCAGGGAGAGGGGCGAGAATCTTTACCCTGTTCTATCCTGATTCCACTCACATCCTCCTCCTCCTCCTCTGGTGTTCCGGCTTGTAATAGCCAGTTTGGTAATGGATGGGGTAGTCGGGGGGGAAGGGGGTGAAAGTGGGGATTTGTCCTGTTCTTGTCACCCCCCTCCTCCACCGGGGGCTGCCGAGGGATGGCGCCCCTGTGTCAGGAAAGGCCTCGCCCTCTTCTCCCCCCCCCACCCAGCCCCCCCCATCACCGTCCTCAGCGTATGTCACTGACCACGAGGCTCCAGCCCAAACCTAGCCAGGAGGCACAGGTGGTCGGATGAGCAGGTCCCGTTGGGCAACCCGTTGGCCGTCCAGAGATCCTCCTCGGAGAGCAGCGAGAGGCGAGCCTGGGGCCGCAGCCCAACATCACCATCACCATCACCACCTGCCAACCAGAGAGCTCACACAGTCACTACACCAACACCACAATAACAACTTGCTATTTACAACAATGTAATAATAACAATAATCCTTGCATTTGATACAGAGCCTTATCACGTCTTGGGACGTCTGAAAGCGCTTCACAGGATACACTGTAAAGTCAATTGACTGTATATTTTGGGGGTGAAACGCGGCAGCCAATTGTGCACAGCTGCGTCCCACAAACGGTCATGGTTCAAGTGACCTATTATTAATATATATAGATATAATTTTTGATGGGATTATTACCCCTGGAAAGCGATCCATCAATCGACTAACAACCGGGTTCCAATTTACTGCGAGGTAAACGGAAGCGTGTGGATTAAGGAAATTTGCCTAAGGTTTTGTTCTGCTTGGGAATCGAACCCGGATCCTCTCGCTTGTGAGGCGAGTGCTCCAACCGCTACGTGACAGGACTCCAAACAATAAAGTGGTCAGAAGTGAATGTTTCCTCATCATCTAACGCTCCCGCCTCCGCCTCCCCCCAGCACTGACCTTGTGTCTGTGAGGAGAAGAAGATGTAATCCACGGTGAGGCAGCTGTTGGAGGTGCAGGTGGTGACCTCGGGCTGTTTGCTGTCAGATTGGTAATGGCTGTACACCGAGGTCAGGTTCAGACCGTGACTGATCAGCCGGCGAGACCTGAGCGGGGGAGGAAAGGGGGGAGACAGGAGGAAGGAGAGACCAGGTTGAGTGTCAACTGCATGTTTCCGGTCTGCTCCACGTCCCCCGCTTAAACAAGTAAACAAGCCATCGACACGGCCGAAGGAAGGAGAGACTCCAAAGGATTTTGAAGAGGAGCCAATTGAGCAGGGAATCTTCCCACTCAGCTCCCGTTAACCTTCCAAAGCGCTGGACAGTCAGGGATTTGGATCCCAGCTGGGGGTTGGGATCAGGAGGGGGTGGAGGGCAGGGAGGGTGGGGGGGGGTTAGGAGGGTGACCGGTCGAAGAGGAGGGTCTTGAGATAGACCTTGAAGGAAGTGAGGGAGGGAGTGAGGGGAAGGAACCTGGCAGATGGAGTTCCAAAGGGTCGGGGGCAGAAAGGCTGATGGCCCGACCGCTGACGACGGGGCAGGCAGGGCGGGGGACGTGGAGCAGACCGGAGCCCGCTGAGCGCAGGGAGTCGACAGGTCGGTATAGAGGAAGACACACACCTGGTACAGAAGATCTCATCCGCATGGGTGTCACCTTCCATTCCGCCTCTGGGGGCCACTGAGTCAAGACAGGACCCCAGCGACTGCTGTTTGTGTTTCAGATTTCCAGCATCTGCAGTATTATGCGTTTGCAGGATAACACGAGGTCAGCTACAACTCATCATCAAGCAAGGAGACACGGAGAGAGAAGCAACACAGCGCATGTTATAGCACGCTCGCCTCGCAAGCGAGAGGACCCGGGTTCGATTCCCAGTGCGGGGCGACACCTTAGGCAAGTTTCCTTACTCCACACGCCTGTTTACCCAGCAGTAAGGGGAACCCGGTTGTTAGTCGATTATTACCCCCCCTGGTAATAATCCTAGTAATAGTAAAAAGTAATAATAATAATTTGGTCACTCAATCACACCTTTTGGTGAGGCACAGCTGTGCGCAATTGGCTGCTGCGTTTTACCCACAAATTATCACAGAATCATAGAATTATACAGCACAGAAGGAGGCCATTCGGTCCATCATATCTGTGCCGGCTCTTTGAGAAGAGCCGGCACAGAGAAGAGCTCTTTGAGAAGAGCTTCCAAATCAATCCCACTCTCCCGCGCTCTCCCCATAGCCCTGCAAACCGGACCTCTCCACAGTCCCTACACTTTTACAGTCACACAAAACACACAGTCACTGTACTTTTATATTCTGTGAAAGGTTTTGAGACGTCTCAACTACGCAATAAGGGGCTCTTATTGCGTAGTTGAGACGTGATAATCAAATGCAAGGATTATTATTATTATTCAGCACATGGCTCCACAACACACTTATAAGAACATGAGGATTTGTTGGACAAAGAATCTCTCTGCCATCCAGGCAGTCGCTTGACATTCTGTGTCCCAAACTATATTATATCCAGAGATATTATTTCCTAACAGAAATCCATCCAATTTGTGAGATGACTCACGGACACGCGCGGCTCCGAGCACGTACCTGGCTTTGTGTCAGACACACCTTCGATGAAGATGAGGCCGTGTGGACGCTCCAGCGCGGGGGCAGAGTATCGCAAGCTGAGCAGAAAGTCCCGCTCGTACCTCCATCCCCCTGCAGAGATACCGGGGCGGGGGGGGGGTTGGGGGGGGAGGGATAGGGCGTGGGGAGAGTCAGAGACCGACCAAAGCAATTGCAACAACATGTGTTTATAAAGTGCCCTTCGCACAGGCTAGCATCTCAGCACTCTGTCGATACTCTCTGCAGTAGGCAATCTACCCCCAAACCACCACCCAGGTACCCCAACGCTCACTCTGGGCTCCGGCAAGCCTTGGCTCTTGCCATCCTGCGCCTAATACAGCTGCGGACTATGGATGTGAGACCGTGAGGCCATAACTCAAACAATGACGAGAGAGTGAGAGAATGAGGGGGAGAGAGAGAGGGAGAATGGAGAGAGCGAGAGAGAGAGAGAGAGAGTGAGATGGAGAGAGGGAGAGGAGAGAGAGAATAGAGACAAATGGGGGGAGAGAGAGAGAGAGAGAGAGAGAGAGAGAATGGGGGAGAGAGAGAGGGAATTGTATGAAGCAAGAGGAATGACGCTTCGCCCCCTCGGCAGCTCACCTGGTTGGCTCCTGTCACTCTGGCTCCGGTACTGACAGTGATCGGTGATACCCAGGTTCCTAGGCCACAGCGGCTCATACAGTCTCCTCTGGTGAAGCCTGTGGGAAGAGTCCTCCTGGTTCGAGACCTGAGGAGAAGGAAAGGGAATCAACAGCAAACAGCTCACGAGTCCTCACAGTAATACACCTAGTAATAAACAGTAATAAACCGAGCCACCGGTTTATGAATCTTCTCACTCGTTTACGAATCACTTGCCCTGGCACCTCCCGACCTCTCCAACCTTGTTACCCCCAACTTCACCACCCGCTGCCTCCGCTCAGCCGTCTCCGGCCTCCTGTTCGTCCCTCGCATCCTCCGTTTCACCATCGGTGGCCGTGCCTTCAGTCACTACACCCCGAAGCTCTGGAGCTCTCTTCCCCCAATTCCTCCACCTCGCCCCCTCCCTCCCCACCTTCAAATCCCACCTAAAGACCTTCTTTTTTGATGGTGCTTATGTTCACCAACTCCCCAAGGCTCGGGGTCAGACTCCGCCGCTCTCGAGCACTTCGGGACATTACCCGGAGTTGCTATACGTATGCAACTTGTTGTTGTTGTGCAATCACTTAGGGTTGAGTCACTGTTACTCACCGGGCAGTAACAAACTGAGCGACCGCCCCAGTGACCAGACCATTATTCGTCGTACTTTACCTTCCAAGCCGGCATCCCATAATAGTCCAGCTGGCCGTCCTGGATGAACTGATAGAGAGGGGAGTGGGGGGCGGAGTTCATGTCACCACAGAGAATAACGGGACAGCGTGTGTCCCCGGCCCCGCTGCCCAGCCCTGCCAGCCGGTCGATCTCGGCAAACAGCAGTGCCAGCTGTGCCAGCTTGATATCTCCGCGCCGCGGGTTGTAGATCAGGTGAGTGTTGGCCACGCAGATCGGGGGCCAGGCCTGGGGGCTCTCCTCGTCCTGGGGCTGGAGCAGCAGCAACAGCCCCACGTTGTCTCTGTCCAGCGTCTCCACCCCGGGCCGCAAATACTCCACCGCCCGCTCGCATTCCAGAGAGAAACGCTCCCCTTGGTAACACACCGCACAGCCGTCTGTCTTGGAGCCTGTGCGCCGCTTGTACGTGCACTTGTAGCCTGAGGGTGGTGGGTGGGGGAGGGCGGGGGGGTAGGAGGGGAGGGCAGGGGAGTGGCGGGGAGTGGGAGAAGGAAGGGGTAGGGAGGGGAAGAAGGAGAAGAGAGGCGGGGAAAGGAGAGGGGATGAGGGAGGAGAGGAGAGGGAGAGGAAAGGTGATAAGAGTTAACCCTAAATGGCAAAGCTACCTGTAGAATAGTGCACTGCAGCAAGAGAGGGGGGGGGGGGGAGTTGGGGGTTGGGGAGGGGGGAGTTGGGGGTTGGGGAGGGGGCAGTTGGGGGTTGGGGAGGGGAGAGTTGGGGAGGGGGTGATGGTGAAGCTGGGATTCCTGTGGGAGGATTTGATCCCGAGGACGAGGATCTTGAATTCGATCTCGACGGAGAACGTCCTCCCTTGTGCATCATTCGCCTAACAACACACAGTCACTACACCTTGCAGTGAAATAACTTACATAAAGTAAAATATTTTACAGGAGACAAGGGAAGTCCTCGTTCCCAGGGTCCTGGCCAAATCAAATTGCTCATTAATTCCACTGTGCGCAAATCGGCGGACGCATTCGCCTACAAAATACACAGTCACTACACTTTACAGCGAAACCCTGTGAAGCGCTTTGAGACGTGAGGATGACATGCTGAGGCGCTAGATAGAGTTGTGTATCAGTCACTCACCTCGGAGCTCCAGTGCTTGTTGGAGATGCTGCTGAAAATAATCCTCCTGAACCTCCTGCAAGCACAGGATCTGAGAAAGACCAGAGAGATTAAAGCCCAGGGCAAAGCCCTCCAGCCCATCATAGGAAGCATAGGAACAGGAGGAGGCCATTCAGTCCCTCGAGCCTGTTCCACCATTCTATTAGATCATGGCTGATCTGTACCTCAACTCCAATCAAGGCCATGCTGGCACTAACTTCCCACATTGCTACCATCCACTCTAATCCCATCCCCTTGTTCTCTCTCCCCTGGAGTCAATGCTCTCCCACAGTGAATGTCTACTCTAATCCCAATCCTCTCCTCTTTCCCTGCTCTAGCCTTGTGTGTGTATGTGAGATGTGCTTCTGACGTGAAAGGCTCTATGTGAATGTAAACTGTATTGGATTTTGGCTGCCAACTGCTCTCAGGGGTGACTTCCAATCTGGCCTTGATCAGAAAACACTTGCCCCATCAGACACCATATTGGAATAATGGAGGTGTCTTCTCAGGAAAAGAGGGATAGAAAACAAGCATTCAGTTCCCCCAGATTAATTGGTCGCTCATCTCCCCACTGCTTGCTTGTACCATTACTTTTGGAACGCCAACACAGCAGGACTGCAATCGGAGGTTGGGGAAATTCAGATCAAACCTGTGGAGACAATATTTCAATGAGCGAGTTGTAAACCTACAGAACAGGCTCTCTAGGGAGACAGACGCTGGAAGCAGAAAGTGTTGTTTGTTTCAAGAACAAATGAGATGGATTTCTGCTAGAAAATAATATCTTGGGATGATACAGTCTATAGCTTGGAACACGACATGTCAAGCGACCTCCAGGATGGTAGCAGGCGAACTAGATGGACCTTGGTCTTCCTTTGCCCGGCAAATCCTTATGTTCTTATGTTGGACATGAGGACACAGGGTTAGAGTTGCAAAAAATTAAACCCAGGACAAACATTTTATCTATACTCAGAGGGTAAATAACGACTGTAATAGGTTGAACTGGACGGGGGCTGAGGCCAGGACATTGGGACTCATTTAAGAAGCAGCTCAATACTGCTGTGTGGGATGGTAGGTGGGTGTTCTGGAGGGAGGAGATCAGATGGGCCAAAGGGTTTCTTCATCCGAACAGATCTAGTGAAATGCCTCCCATGTCTGCTTACAAACGCGATTGCTCCCTCGTCCTGTCCCCACCCTTGCCCCACCCACCCTTCAACCACGCCACTTATTCTTGCCCCTCACTCTGCCCCAATTGCCCCATACCCACCCTCACCCTACTCCCGTCATGACCCCCCAGCCCAACCCTGCCCTGCCCCCGCCATTGCCCCCCCCACATGTCCCTGCCTCCCATTGCCCCCAGCCTACCCTTGTCCTGCCCCCACCATTGCTGCCCCGAGCCCATCCTCGCCCGGCAGGTAACACTGTCACTCAGTGTGAGTTAATGCAGACTGACTCACATCCGGGGTCCAAGTGTCAAACTCGCGCAGAATGTTCTGGCAGCGGAAGTCCCAGGTGAGGTAGTCGGGCGGGCAGTGCGTGTACAGGCTGCCGTTCATCTCCAGAAGGTCCTGCGACAGGATGTTGTACGACATGATGGTGAACTCGAAGGCCTGGTCAGTGTGTGGTGGTCCCGGCAGGTCCTCCCACACCCGCAGCAGCTCTGAGCCAGAACACAGCCTGCGTTAGTCACACACGGGTAGAGCACGGGGGGGGGACAAAGAATAATGTAGGAGATTTAATCGAGATGTTCAAAATTATGAGGGGATTTGATAGACTAGAGAGGGAGAAACTGTTTCCTCTGGTAAGTGGGTCGTTCACAGATTTAAAATCATTGACAAAACAAGAACAACAAAATTACATGTGTATAGCGCCTTTCACGTCGGGAGGATGTCCCAAGGCGCTGGACAGACAGAGTTACGGACCTGAGCTGAGGGTCGGGGTGGGGGAGGGGGGGATGGCAGAGGGAGAAACAGGGAGATCGAAAGCACGGTTGAAGAGGAGGGTCTTGAGGTGGGTCTTGAAGGTAACGAGGGAAGGGGCGACGCAGAGGGACTGCGGGATGGAGTTCCAGAGGGTGGATGCAGAGTGGCGGAAGGCCCACGCGCTGATAGTGGGATGAGCGAGGCGGGGAGGTGAAGCAGGCCGGAACCCGTTGAGCGGAGAGAGTGAACAGGATGGTGGGGGGTTAGTAGATCGGAGAGGTGGGGGGAGCAAGACCATGGAGGGCTTTGAAGGTGAGGACCAGAATCTTGAACTGTACCCTCTGTGTGATGGGAAGCCAGTGGAGTCGGGCGAGGATGGGGGTGATAGGGTCGTGGAGCCCGGGGTGGGTGAGGACACGGGCTGCAGAGTTCTGGATGATCTGCAGCCATGGGAGGGAGGAGTTGGGGAGGCCGACAAGCAGTGAGTTTGCATTGTCGAGCTTCGATGTAATGAAGGCGTGGATGAGGGTGGTGGCCTGCGGTGTGAGAGCCGGGTGTTGTTGCGGATGTGGGGTAGAAAGGATAGTTGAGGGTCAAACAAGACGCCAAGGTTCGGGACTGGCTCAGTGAGGGGGAATGGGCGACCATGGATGTTGATGCTGTCAGCACCTGAGGTGAGGAGGCGCTGACGGGAGCCAATCAAGAGGGCCTCGGACTTGTTGATGTTCAACTGAAGAAAGTTTGCTCTCATCCAGGACTTGATGTTTGGCAGACATTCTATCAGGACAGCAGTGAGTCCTGGAGTCAAGGGTGGAGGCAGAGAGGGAGTTGGGTGTCATCCGCATACATGTGGGAGTTGACCCCATGTCTGCGGATGATGTCACCAAGAGGGAGCGTATAGATGTTGAAGAGGAGGGGACCAAGGACAGAGCCCTGAGGAGCATCGCACAAGACAATCCAGGGGCTAGAGGAGAAGCTGTTTGAGGAGATGAAGTGCATCTGAACCAATCAAGGAGATTGAGGTGAGAGGAGAGGTGGTGGATGAGGATAGAGTGGTCGACAGTATCAAAGGCGGCAGAGAGGTCAAGGAGGACAAGGAGGCAGAGATGGGCAGAGTGTCACTTTGACCAGGCGGTTTCTGTGTTGTGGGCGGCACGGAAACCCGATTTGAGGGGTTCGAGAAGGGAGTGGCGGGAGAGGAAGGAGTGAAGCTGAGAAGCAACAACTCGTTCCAGACCTTGGAGAGGAAGGGGAGGTTGGAGATGGGGCAGTGATTAGGGAGTAGAGATGGGTCCAAGGAGGTTTTTTTAAGAAGAGGAGTGATGACAGCGGTTTTTAAAGGGGTGGGAACAATACCAGAGGATAGGGAGAGGTTAACGATGTCAGTGAGTAGAGAGGCAAGGAGGTGGAGCAGGGAAGTAGGGAGTGGGATAGGAATAGGGTCGAGGGAGCAAGTGGTGGGTTTCATTCAAAAGAACCAGAGGGGAGATGAGCAGACATTATTTTACCCAGAGAGTTGTTACAGTCTGGAATGCATTGCCTGAAAGGCTGGTGGAAGCAGATTTAATAGTAGGTTTCAAGAGGGAATTCAATAGGTACTTGAAATGGAAAAATGTGCAGGGCGATGGGGAACGAGTGGGTGACTAGTTGGTAGCTCTTTCAAAGAGCCGGCACAGGCATGATGGGCCGAATGGCCTCCTTCTGTAATATTCTATGATTCTAACGTGGCGACCAGAGTAACAGAGTCTGGGAGGTGCAGCAGAACGGCCATAGAAAGGGCACCGACCCCGGGGGGAACTTATGCTTCGCAGTGTCTGTGCTGGTGGTGGGTCCCCGTAAGTTAGATGGCAACCGGGCTGAGCGGGTCAAAAGGTTGTGGGTTTGATGCCCACATTGAGCTGATAATGTAGGCTGATACTCCAGTGCAATACTGGGGTCAGGGAGTACGCCCTAAGGCTGCCAAAACCTTCACGCATTCGTCACCTCAAGGCTTGATTACGGGAACTACCTCATCGGCCTTCCCAACTCTTCCCTTCACAAGCTGCAGATCATCTGAAACTCTGAAGCTCGTGTGCTCTCACGCACCAGGCTCCGTGACCCCATCACTCCCACCCTCGCCCGACTCCATTGGCTCCCCATTTTTAAGGCCATCCATTGCCTTGCCCCCCCTCCTACCTCTGACCTGCTGACTCCCTACCAACCTGCCCGTTCCCTCTGTTCAGCGGTTTCCAGTCTGCTCCATGTCTCCCGCCCGACCCGCCCTACCATCGGTGGTCGGGCTTTCAGCCTCTCTGCCCCCACACTCTGGAAGTCCATCCCACGATCCCTTCGTCTCGCTTCCTCCCTTGCCTCCTTCTAGGCTGGTCTCGGACACTCCTCTTCGATTGTGCCTTCAGTCGCCCTCCCACCTCTCTGCCTTCCCTCTCACCCCTACACCACCCCTCCCCCACGCTCAGGCCCTGACACCTAACTGTTCAGCGCTTTGGGACGTCCTCCCGATGTGAAAGGCGCTCTATAAATGTCATTTTGTTGTTGTTGTTGCATTGATTACAGCCGTAACAGTTGGGACCAAAAATTTTATATGACTTATATCAAACTCGCATACAATGCAAACTCTTGAATGGGGTTTGGGCATATGTATGACTTTGTCAGTTATACGATCGATACAGATCAGACTTGTGCAAGTTTTACTGTATAAAAGAGTCCCACAAGATTACAAGGATGGTCTGGATGGTCCATCTGATCACATCCCTCCAGAACACCCGGCCTGAAGTCCCCCCATCACAGCATACAGCTGCTCTTTAAATCAGTCCAGTGTCCTGGCCCCTACTACAACAACAACAAATTAAACTTGTCATAGCACCCTTCACGTTGGAAAGATGTCCCAGGGTGCTGGACAATCGGGGTTTTGGACCCAAGCTGGGAGTTGGGGTCAGTAGGGGTGAATGGCAGTGGGGAGGGAGTGGGGGTGGGAGGGTGACTGAAGACACGGTCGAAGAGGGAGGTTTTTAGAAGGTCCTCTCACCCGTCCTGGCAACCTGTTCCAGCTGTTGATTATGCAGGGGACGTTATTTGTCAGCGTATTGTTCCTCACCTTCACAAGGGTCCATTCCCATCATCCCAACGCCACCTTGGTCCAGGAGCTCCCACAGACTCGCCTCTTCCCCGTTCATTCCCATCACCGAGTGAAAGGGCCAGCCCGCCATGCCTGGGAGTGTGCCATCGTTCTCTGTCCCATTCATGCCGTCCTCAGGCTCCTCCAGCCCCCCCTCGTAGTTCTCCACTGTGCCCTGGCTAGGCATCAGCTGCCACCCTCTGCCAAGCTCTGGCACGGGAGCCAACTGCCATCCCATAATACTCGGGTCCTCGTCAATGGAGGCTGGCCACCCCGGCCCGGCCTGATGGGCAGCGCTCGCCCTGCACACCTCCTGCCACATGGCAAAGGCCTCATCTGCATCCCTGTTCTCCCAGGGCTCGTCCTGCTCCAGCCACTCAGCGCCGTCCCCTTCTTCCTCGTCCCTGTAGGGAAGGGGACCCTCAATGGCCCCTCCGTGCAGCCACTCCTGCAGGAGCATGGTCTGGTCTCGATGGAGCGACAGGCGGGGAGTGGAGCAGTCATCAGACATCTCCTCGCTGGAGGTTACTGATGATGTGGAGCCTCCTGGTGGTGGTTCATCGCCATCATACCGACCTGACAGCACCAGGAGCAACAGACACCATCAAGACAAGATCTGCACCGATAATAATAATTATCCCTGCATTTGACGTGTCTTATCACGTCATCGAGACGCCTCAAAGCGCTTCACAGAATATACTGCAAAGTGAATTGACGGTATATTTTGTGGGCAAAACGCGGCAGCCAATTGCACACAGCAGCGTCCCTACAAACAGTCGTGGATTGCGTAATCAAATTATTTTCATATGTTTTGAAAGAATTATTACCCCCGAAAAAGTGATCCCCCAATCGACTAACAACCGGGTTCCTACTTACTGCTGGGTAAACAGAGGAGGAAGGAAGTAAGGAAATTTGCCCAATGTTTTGCCTCCTGCCCGGGAATCGAATCCAGGTCTCTCACTGGCAAGGCGAGTGCTCTAACCACTGAGCTACAGGACTCCACTGATGGCATCCCTAACCTCCAGTGAAAACCTTGTTCAGGCTATAACAATGAAAACAACAACTTGCACTTATACAGCGCCCTCCACGCAGGTTAGCATCTCGGAGCGCTTAACAGTGGCGGAGCCTGACTCCGAGCCGGGGGCAGGGGGGAGGTGGCCACTAGCACAGTCGAAGAGGAAAGTTTTCAGGCAGGACTTGAAAGAGGGGAGAGAGGCAGAGGGATTGAGGGAGTGTTCCAGAGTTTTGGGGCGTAGTAGCTGAAAGCAAGACCTCCAATGGTGGGCGGAGGGTGCGAGGGACGAACAGGAAGCCAGTGCCAGTCAAGCGGAGGCGGGGGGTGGTGGAATGGGGAGTGAGGAGGTCAGAGCCAGGGAGTGAAGGGATTTGAATACGAGAGTGAGGATCTTGAAGTTGATCTGTTCAGTGATGGGGAACCAGTGGCCACAACTGGTGAGATGTGGGTACGGAGTTTGGTCCGGGGTCAGTATGCAGGCAGCAGAGGTTTGAATGAGCTGGATCTTATGAATGGTGGAGCTAGGGAGAAGTGTGTTGGAGTAATCCAAGCGGGAGGTGACAAACTCATGCACAAGGGTTTCGGCAGCATTTGGGGTAAAATACAGTTGGAGGCGGGCAACGTGAGAAAGCGTCCTGGTCAAGAGATAGGATGTGGGGGAGGAAGGACAGTTGGGGGTCGAACTGGACGCCAAGGTTGCGCAGTGGTTCGGTGAGTCTGAGGGAGAGCCCAGTTGAGGAATTTACATCCACAGGAGTGAAGACATTGACGGGAGCCAAGGAGGCTTCCGTCTTGTCCATATTCAGTTGCAGGAAGTTTACACTCATCCAGGCCTTGATGTCTGTCAGACAAGCTGATAGAACATCGGCGGACCTGGCGTTGGTACTGGAGGAGGCAAAGTAGATTTGTGTGTCATCCGCATACAGGTCGAAGTTTACCCATGTCTGAGGATGACATCGCCCAGAGGGAGCATACAGATAAGGAAAAGAAAGGGCCAAGGATGGAGCCCTGGGGTGACCTGCAGGTGATCGGGTGGAGGCGCGAGGAGAAAACATTTGCTGAGATGAAATGGAGGCAGTTGGTTAAGTTGGACTCGAATCATGCGAGTGCGGTCCCACTAAGGTGGGAGGAAAGGAGGTGGAGGAGGATGGCATGGCCGATTATGTCGAACACGGCAGAGATCCAGGAGGACAAGGAAGCAGAGGAAACCCTGGTCACAGATAGAGAGAATGTCTTTTGTGACATTGACAAGCGCTGTCTCTGTGCTGTGGGCAATCAGGGCAAAAAACAGACTCCAGGGGCTCGAGGAGGAAGTGAAGGGAGAGGTGTGACCGAAGTTGACCTGCAACAATGTGTTTCAGGACTTTGGCAAGGAAGGGTAGGTTGGAGATGGGGCGAGAGATTAGAGGGATCGAGGGTGGGTTCTTTGAGGAGGGGCGTGATGATAGCGGTTTTCAGGGCGAGTGGAGCAGAGCCTAAGGAGAGAGAGAGAGATTGACCGTGTCGGCCAGCAGGGGAGAGAGAAGAGGGAGTTGAGTGACCAGCAGTCGGGTGGGGAGGGGTCGAGGGAGCAGGTGGTGAACTTCATCCGGGTGATTGTGATTGAGAGGGAGGGAGGGAAAAATGGGGGCAAAGGAATGTAAGGAGGGGGTAGTGGCAGGAGCTGTGACGGAGGGAGAAGGCTGTATGGATGGTCTGGGTGGGGTGGAAAGGGACATGGGAGGGAGGACGATGCAGCCAAGCGGATGTTTTAAATTTCTGAGGCAAAGAAGTGTAGGATCCCTTCGCACTTAGCATTTGACGTGAGGATCGAGGGGACTTGAGGGGGTGCGCGGAGGAGGTGATGGACAGTGGAAAATGGAGTATTTGGATTGTTGCTTGCCTCCAGGATGACTTTGGAGGAAAAGTCAGTTGTGGTCTGTGAAAGAGAGAGGCGGTGGGTGTGGAGGTGCTCGAGCCACAGCTGGCGGTGAGGCTGGATTTCTGCCATCTGCGCTCGAGGGTCCGGGTTTGTGTTTTGAGTGAGCGGAGATGGCTATTGTACCGGGGGAGCGGGTGGGTTTGGAAAGAACGCTGGATTTCAGGGGAGCCAGGGAATTGAAGGTATAAAACAAACCCACTTTTCTTCCACATACTCCCTCTTCCCAGTCGACATAAAACCGGCTCCTAAAGCAACTGCAATTAACGTACAACTAACTCCACAAAGAAAATGTTTTGAGAACTTGTTCTGTCTTTTTTGTCCTAAAAAAAATAATAATGATCTGGCCCCCTCAATCCACGACTGTTCGTAGGTCACTGCTGCGCGCAATTGGCTGCCATATTTTGCACAATATTGACTTTACAATATATCCTGTGAAGCGCTTTGAGATGTCTCAATAACGTGCGAAGGCACTGTATCAAATGCAAGGATTATTATTATAAAATTTCAATTCTATTCCTCTCAGAGTTGGGAGTTCTTTGGACGAGATGTTAAATCACCTTCCCATCGCTCTGTTCTTTAGGTAGATATCCAAAATTCTGTACCACTACGAGACAGAGAGGGGAGTTTCTTGAAGGGTCCTTCAAGACCCGTCTGAAGACCCTCCTCTTCGACCGTACCTTTGCTCACCCTCCTTCCCCACCTACCCTCCACCCTCCTCGATCCCGACCCCCAGCTCGGGTCCGAAACACTGATTGTCCAGAGCCTTGGGACATCCTCCCGACGTGAGAGGCGCCGTACGAATGTCACTTTGTTGTTTTTGTGGTTGTTTGCGGTATATTCCGTGAGGCGCTTTGAGACGCTTCAAAGACGTGATTAAGGCACTGTGTCAAATGCAATTATTGTTATTGTTGTTGTCTCTTTTAAAGAGGTTCACCGTGACCCCAATTCCTGGTCCCCCGTCCCCCTCCCCCCTGCCCCCTCCCCCGTCCCCCTCCCCCGTGTCCCCCTCCCTGCCCCTCCCCGTGTCCCCCTCCCTGGCCCCCTCCCCCGTGTCCCCCCTCCCCCGTCCCCCTCCCTGCCCCCTCCCCCGTGTCCCCTGCCCCTCCCCCTGTCCCCCTGCCCCGTCCCCGTGTCCCCCCCGTCCCCCTCCCCCTGCCCTCCCCCGTCCCCCTCCCCGTTCCCCCTGTCCCCCTCCCCGTCCCCCCTGCCCCCCTCCCCCAGTCCCTCCCCCTGCCCAGTCCCCCTCCCCGGTCCCCCCTGTCTCCCCTGTCCCCCTCCCCGGTCCCCCCTGTCCCCCCTGTCCCCCTCCCCGGTCCCCCCTGTCCCCCTCCCCGGTCCCCCTGTCCCCCTCCCCGGTCCCCCTGTCCCCCTCCCCCGGCCCCCTCCCCCCCCCTTGATCCCATCCCCTGCCACCACTGGTACCCTGCCCCCCATTGACCCTTGACCCCGTCCCCCCTGCCCCGGTCCCCTGTCCCCCCCGCCCCCCTGACCCCGGGTACCTGTTCCCATGGTTACCTGTGATCCTGTTGAGCAGTTTCGCGAGCGGCAGCAGAACATAGCAGAGGATAGAACCCAGCATCCCGCGCCTGCGCACTCACACCCCAACGGCAACCCCCCGCGCCTGCGCACTCACACCCCCACGGCAAACCCCCCGCGCCTGCGCACTCAACCCCCACGGCAAACCCCCGCGCCTGCGCACTCACACCCCCACGGCAAACCCCCCGCGCCTGCGCACTCACACCCCCACGGCAAACCCCCCGCGCCTGCGCACTCACACCCCCACGGCAAACCCCCCGCGCCTGCGCACTCACACCCCCACGGCAACCCCCCGCGCCTGCGCACTCACACCCCCACGGCAACCCCCCGCGCCTGCGCACTCACACTCCCTACAGCAACACTCCCCCACCCCGCGCGCCTGCGCATTCATCCAGATGGGCCCCGCGTTGCGCGTGCGCGCTGGGCTCTCCGTAGTGAACCCGGGGTGGGGGGGGGGGGTGGAGGCCGAGGATGGCAATGGGGGGACATGAGGATCAGGCACACGTTTGTAGCTCAGTGGTTAGAGCACTCGCTTTGCGAGCGAGAGACCTGAGTTCAATTCCCGGCAGGTCCGGGCCAAACCTCGGGCAAGTTTCCTTACTCCACACAGAGCCTAATGATAATCCTCCAAAACAAAATAATAATAAATTGGTCATTTTCAATCTATGACTGTTTGTGGGACATTGCTGTGCGCAATTGGCTGCCGCGTTCGCCCACAAATATATACAGTCAATTCACTTTACAGTGTGTTCTGTGAAGCGGTTTGGGACGTCCTCCCGACGTGAAAAGCACTATATCAAATGCAAGGTTTATTATTATACCATCACGTCGTTGAGACGTCTCAAAGCGCTTCTCGGGGGTAGACTGTAAAATGAATTGACTGTTGTGCATTTTTTTAGGCTTCCATTGACCCCCGTCACGGAGGAACTCGGTTAGCGATGGTACCTGAGGGTGATGGGCACTGCAGTGAGTGACAACAACAACAACAAGAACCACCACCTGCATTTATGCAGCGAGTAGCATCCCAGGGCGCTCGACGGTGGCGGAGCCTGATGCCGAGCCAGTGGGGGCGGGGGAAGGGAGGTGACCGCAGGAGCAAGCACTCAACAACAACAACAACAGCAGCAACAACAACAACTTGCATTTAGGTCGTGCCCCTCACACCGGGTAGAATTCAAGTCAAGGTAGAATTGTGTGCCGCTGAGGGGCAATGGGGATAAAATACTAATAATTATCCTTGCATTTGTGGAACATTGCGAATGTGTGCAAATTGGCTGCTGTGTTCAATTGCAAACACGTAGTCACTACACTTTAATGTAAAATACTTTGAAGCGTCTTTGGGAGGACATGACAAAGCAATGTGTGAATTGGAGGGGATTATTATTACACAATAATTGAAACCTTGACTTATTTTACTGGTCTGTCCCTCATTCCATCAAAACTGTATTGTTTATTCATTGCGATTTGAATTATTCACTCTTTAACGTTGCTGCTTTCCTAGAGTTTAAAATTACAGGATGATGTTTCTTTTTGCTTGTCCTGGGTCCTAGAGAAAGCTGCGACAGATACCCATCAACCTGACCATCACAGCCGTCACTTACATGGATTGTTCTAATTAATAATGAGAGGCTCAGTTGCTCACACTCTCGCCTCTGGCTGGAAGGTTATGTTGAATGTTGGGACCTGAATCTTGTTGTGCTGGTCAGAGGGTCGAGGAGTTAAAGGGGCCACAGAGTGATGTCAACAACATTTTCCAGTTGAATGTCAACAAGACCGAGGCCCTCCTGCTTGGCTCTGGTCAACGCCTCCGTAACTCGAGTGCTGACAGCAACACCCTTTATGGATGCACTCTACACCTCATGGAGCCAATGTGGACCTCAGCATCCTGTTCGCCTCTCACCCTCCTCCACAACACCCTCTCCTCCACACTCGACACTCTTGCCCCCATCACCTCCCGTACTGTCTCCTACTCTCGCTCCTCCCTCTGGTTCACCACTCACCTCCGCTCACTGAAGAGCCAGGTGTGGGCCGCTGAACGCACCTGTGTCAAATCTGGCCTAACGGTCCACCGACAAATCTGGCTGGACCTCCTCAAAATCTACCGCTCCACTCTAGCCTCGGCCAAGTCGTCCTTCTACTCCAGGATAATCCTGGAGGCGAAGAACAACCCCAGGCTACTGTTTTCTACCACATCCCGACTCCTCCGTCCCCCCCGCCACCCCGCGCAGGTCATCTCCTCCAACCTTCACTGCGAGGAGATGCTGGATTTCCTTGAATCCAAAATCAAGGGAATTCGCTCCGTGGTCACTTCCCATCCAACATCCACCCACCCCCCACCCCCTCCCTCCCACCCATCCTCCCCTACACACTTTCGTACCCGTTTCCCTACCTTTTGTCACCAAACTCATCCTATCCCTTAAACCCACCACCTGCTCCCTTGACCCCATCCCCACTCCACTCCTTATCTCCCAGCTCCACCTCCTTGCCCCACATATCACAGACATCGTCAACCTGTCCCTCTCCTCTGGCTCTGTTCCCATTCCCTTAAAAACTGCCACCATCACTCCCACCTTGAAAAAACCCTCCCTTGATGCGTCGCAGCTATCAAGCTACCGGCCCATCTCCAACCTCCCCTTCCTGTCCAAGGTCCTTGAATGAGTTGTCGCCTCCCAGCTGCGCTCTTTCCTCTCCACCCATTCATTATTCGAACCCCTTCAGTCGGGTTTCCGTGCTGCCCATAGCACAGAAACTGCCCTGGTCAAGGTCACCAATGACATCCTGACCATCTGTGACCAGGGCTCCCTCTGCCTCCTCGTCCTCCTCGACCTATCGGCAGCATTCGATACGGTCGACCACTCTATCCTCCTCCACCGCTTGTCCTCCCACCTCAACCTTCAAGGCCCTGTCCTTGAGTGGTTTAGGTCCTACCTCTCCCACCGTCTTCACTTTGTTTCCACGAATGGTTTTTCCTCCACCCCCCACACTGTCTCGTGCGGTGTCCCTCAGGGCTCTGTCCTCGGTCCCCTCCTCTTCACCCTCCCCCTCGGTGACATCATCCGCAGACATGGGGTTAACTTCCACATGTATGCGGATGACACCCAACTCTACCTTTCCTCCTCTACCCTCAACTCCACGACCACCGATGTCCTGACAGCTGCCTGTCCGACATCGAGTCCTGGACGAGAGACAACTTTCTTCAGCTCAACGTGCGTAAAACTGAGGCCCTCCTGATTGGCTCACGTCAGCGCCTCCGCACCTCAGGCGCTGACACCATCAGCATCCAAGGCTGCACTCTCCACCTCTCAAAGCCAGTCAGGAACCTCGGGTTCTGTTCGACCCTGAGCTGTCCTTTCTCCCTCATATCCGCACCACAACTGGCACCGCCTTCCATCACCTCCGGAACATCGCCAGACTACGGCACTACCTCACCCCTCACGCTGCTGAAACTCTGGTCCACGCCTTTATCACCTCAAGGCTGGACTATGGGAACTCTCTCCTCGCCGGCCTTCCCGGCCCTCCCTCCACAAGCTGCAGGTCATTCAGAACTCTGCAGCTCGTGTACTGTCCCGCACCAGGCTTCGGGACCACATCACTCCCACCCTCACCCTCGCTCGCCTCCACTGGCTCCCCATCCCCCAGAGGATCGAATTCAAGATCCTCATCCTCACCTACAAGGCCATTCACGGCCTCGCTCCCTCCTACCTGTCTGACCTACTAACCCCCTACCTACCTGCCCGTACCCTCCGTTCCTCTGGCTCCGGTCTGCTTCACATCCCCCGCCCCAACCGCCCTACCATCGGTGGCCTTCAGCCTCTCAGCCCCGAGGCTCTGGAACTCCATCACCCAGTGCCTTTGACTTGCCTCCTCCCTTTCCTCCTTCAAGGCCGGTCTCAAGACCTTTCTCTTTGACCGTGCCTTCAGCTCCCCTCTCGACTCTCTACCCCCTCCTCGCTCCCTCCCTTCCCTCCCCTCACCCTGACCATTTCCCCCTTGCTCGGGTCCTGACCCTACTGTACAGCGCCTTGGGACGTCCTCCCGATGTGAAAGGCGCTCTATAAATGGAATCTTGTTGTTGTTGTTGTTGTTCAACCCTCAACTGTCCTTCATCCCATACATCCGTGCCATGACCTTCTCAGCCTTTCCCCACCTCCACAATACTGCCCAGCTCCGCCACTGTTCTCTCCCGCACTAGGCGCCGCGACCCTATCAACCCCATCCTCACCCGACTCCATTGGCTTCCCATCACACATTTCAAGATCCTGGTGCTCACCTTCGAAGCCCTCCATGGCCTTGCTCACCCCTACGTCTGCAACCTCCTAACCCCTTACCATACTGCCTACTTCACAGAATATACTATAAAGTGGATTGACTGTATATTTTGGGGGCGAAACGCGGCAGCCTTGCCCCCTCCCTTGCCTCCAAGAGTCCCACCTCAAGACCCTCCTCTTTGACTGTGCCTTCGGTCACCCTCCTACCCCTACCCTCCTCGCCTTCCACTCCCTCCTGCTCCCAATCCCCAGCTCGGTTGTGGTTCGTTGACTTTCTAGCACATTGGATGTCTTCCTGATGTGAAAGGCACCATACAAATGTAATTAATTGTTGTTATTGATACATCCCATCACTATCACGTCAGGCTTTTCCTGGTTATGAGCCCAGTCTCTGTGATGGCACAATACAAGCAAGGGAGGTGTCATTGCAGCTTCCCAGAGACACCAGACAGCAACAGCAATTGGCATTGATTTACACAGCGCCTTTCACGCAGGATAACATCACGAGGGAGCGCTTCGCAATGATGGGGTTGGACGTCGAGCAGGGGACAGAAACAGGGAAGCGGGAGGCGATTGCAGCCTTGGTGGAAGAGGTAGGTTCTAAGGCGAGTCTTGAAGACCGATAGAGAGGTGGGGGGGGGGGGGGGGTGGAGGAGCCCGACAGTGAGTTAGAGGATGGGGTTGATGTGGGAATCTGAAGCATCAACCATCGATGATGGCATGGAGAGGACAGGAGAGAGCATCAGTAACCATCAAAGCCAGTGAGGGGCATGGTTGAGTTTAATGTCTATAATAATAATCATTGCATTTGATACAGCACCTTATCACATTGTTGAGACATCTCAAAGTTCTTCACAGAATATACTGTAAAGTGGATTGACTATGTATTTTGTGAGCAAAACTCAACAGCCAATTGAACACAGCAGCGTCCCACAAACAGTCGTAAATTGAGTAACAAATGATTAATATTTTATTCATTCATTTTTTTTCAAGGGATTATCACCCCCCAGAAAAGCAAACAGCCAATCGACTAATGACCGGGTTCCTACTTGTACAGAGAGGTAAACGGTGGTCTCCGGAATAAGGAATTACTCGTCCAAATTAGCTTCAAATGTTTCAACTCAATTGTCGATCATTGACGGGAGTTTGCCCACAAAACACTCACAGTCGCATCACTTTACAGTATATCCTTGGAAGCACTTTGAGATGACTCAAAAAAGGTGCTGCATTCAATAATAATAATGGTAGTAATTCTTTATTTGATGCAGTTTGTAACAAGAAGATGTCTCAAAGCGCTTCACAGGATACACTGTAAAGTGGAGTGTATTTTGTGGTTGTGTCGTGTAATGTATTGTCTTGTGTGTAAATCATTGTTGAACTGGGTGGAGTATGGAATTAGTGAGCAAGTGAGCAACACTCCTGCTCTTTCAGGCTTTAAATGCAGGCTGGATGAATGCAGTAGCTAAGAGGGAGTGGATGGATATTTGGTGGGCAGGTAGTCACAAGGGATGAAAATAATTATCCTTACATTTGATACAGCGCTTTTCACGTCAGGAAGAATCCGACACCTGTGACCGATGATCTCTCATTACGCCAGTTGATTTCTTTATCAAAGAGGCTCAGGTTCCTCCTTGTGTTTGGTGACACAATGAGCCTCCACCATCTCCCTGGCTCGCCTGCCCAAAATGAAATGGGAAAGACAGGCACTAGGGCCTGGGCATGACTGAAAAGCCCTGAGTGTCTGTTGCCATCTGTCAGACAGGACAGTACTAATTTGCAAGATACACCATTCATGGTAATGATCCATTGTGCCTCGTATCCTTATCCAATGTGCTGTGTATTCCTACCTGTTGCACATATCACAATATTGGAAAGATCTGTGAGGAACTTCCATCAAGAGCAGTCTACTTGGTCAGAGCCTTGTGGTAAAGTTATGTTCAGCTCTATGCCCCTATGGGAAGTCCTACCATAATCCAATCTCTTGCGTTCATGAGGAGTCCTGTAGCTCAGTGGTTTGAGCACCTGCCTTGCAAGCAAGAGGACCAAGGTTTGATTGCCGGCATGGAGAAATGTTGGGAAAGTTTCCTTACTCCACACGCCTCTGTTTACCCAGAAGTAAGTAGGAACCCAGTTGTTGTCGATTGGCAGATCGCTTTTCCAGGGGTAATAATCCAATCAAAAAAAAATGTCACTCAACCCACAACGCTTTATGGGACGCTGCTGTGTGCAATTGGCTGCTGCGTTTCGCCCACAAAATATGCAGTCAATTCACTTTACAGTATATTCTGTGAAGCTCTTTGAGACGTCTGGAAGACGCGATAAGGCGCTGTATCAAATGCAGGGATTATTATTATTATTGTTATATTCATTGTCGTTCCTTTGCTTCTTTTCTTTATCTATCTGCCCATCTGTTCTTCCATTCCCTTTCTCTCTTTCTCGGTTCAAAACGATAAGGGGTTTTGATAGAGTGGACAGGGAGAAACTGTTTCCACTGGCAGGTGGGTCGCTAACCAGGGCATAAAGATTTAAAATAATTGGCAAAAGAACCAGAAGGGAGATGAGGGGTATTTGTTTTACACAGAGAGTTGTTACGGTCTGGAACTCACTGCCTGAAAGGCTGGTGGAAACAGATTCAATAACAAGTCTCAAAAGGGAATTGGATAGGTACTTGAAGAGGAAAGAATTGCAAGGATTTGGGGAAAGAGACTGACTGAGTAGCTCTTCCAAAGAGCCGGCACAGGCACGATGGGCCGATTGGCCTCCTTCTGTGCTGTAATATTCTATGATTCTGTGTGTGTGTCTCTCTCTCTGTGTCTCTCTGTTTCTTTGTTTTTTTTCTTTCTTCCTTTTGCAAAGAACAGTCACCTGGAAGTATTTCTTTACCAGACAGTAATTAACATTGAATAGTTGACGAGGAACCTCTGAGGTATGGGATATTAGTTATCCACAGCTCAAACTACACACTTCCACTTGTTGAAGCGCTTTGAGACGTTTCAAAGACGGCTGTTAGTTGATTGGTGGGTCGCTTTTCTGGGGGTAATAATTTCCTCCAAAAAAAATAATAAATTGGTCACTCAACCCATGACTGTTTGTGGGGACATTACTGTGTGCAATCGGCTGCCACATTTCGCCCACAAAATACACAGTCAATTCGCTTTACAGTATGTTCTGTGAAGCGCTTTGAGGCGTCTCAAAGATGCGATAAGGTGCTGTATCAAATGCAAGGATTATTATTATTATTATAGCTCAATGGGTTGGGATGTGCGTCCATGCTGTGGGCAGGAGAAGGGTGACAATGCTCTGACACATTTCATGGATGAGGAGCTGCTGGTGGAACAGGACACCTGTGTAAATGGTGTTGCTGGTGTGCCTGTATATATAGTGGGATTAGTACATATATATATATATCTCCTAGAGGCAGTATGGCTGTGTTTATGATGGGGCCATTGTGTCTGGATATACGATAGAGACAACGGGGTCAGTGTGTGTGTGTATATGTTGAATGCAGTGTGTGTATATAATGGGTGTGTGTGTTTGTGTGTGTATACAGTGAGGTCAGTGTGTGTGTGTGTGTATGCAGTGATGGGTATGAAACCGACTACCTGCTTTCTCGACCCCATCCCTACCCCTCTCCTTACTACCTCTTTGCCCCTCTACTCACAGACATCGTAAACCTCTCCCTGTCCTCTGGTGCTGTTCCCACCCCATTAAAAACCGCTGTCATCACTCCTATCCTTAAAAAACCACTCCCTGGACCCATCTCTACTCTCAAACTACCCCTTCCTCTCCAAGGTCCTGGAACGAGTTGTTGCTTCCCAGCTTCGCTCCTTCCTCTCCCGCCACTCCCTTCTCGAACCCCTCCAGTCGGGTTTCCGTGCCGCCCCCGGCACAGACACCGCCTGGTCAAAGTGACAAATAACATTCTGTCCATCTGCGACCAGGGCTCCCTCTGCCTCCTCGTCCTCCGTGACCTCTCTGCTGCCTTCGACGCTGTCGACCACTCTATCCTCATCCACCGCCTCTCCTCTCACCTCAACCTTCATAGCTGTGCCATTGACTGGTTCAGATTGTACCTCTCACACTGCCTCCACTTCATCTCCACAAACATTTGCTCCTCTAGCCCCCATACCATCTCGTGCGGCGTTTCTCAGGGCTCTGCCCATTCCCTCTTCTTCAATATCTATGTGCCCCCCGCTTGGTAACATCATCTGCAGACATGTTGTCAACTTCCACATGTATGCGCATAACACCCAAGTCTACCTCTCTGCCTCCACCCTTGACACTACTGTGCTGACACAATGTCTGTCAGACATCAAGTCCTGGATGAGAGCGAACTTTCTTCAATTGAATGAAAACAAGTCCGAGGCTCTCCTGATTGGCTTCCGTCAGAGTCTCCTCACCTCAGACGCTGACAGCATCAACATCCATGACCGCCCACTCCCCCTCACTGAGCCAGTCCCGAACCTTGGCGTCTTCTTTGACCCTCAACTATCCTTTCTACCCCACATCTGTGCCATGACCCGCTCTGCCTTCCCCCACCTCTGCAACATCGACCTCTGTCTCACACCGCAGGCCGGCAAAACCTTCATACACGCTTTCATTACATAGAGGCTTGACTATGCAAACTCATTGCTTGTCCCCAACTTCTCCCACCATAGGCTGCAGATCATCCAGAGCCTCCGCACCAGGCTCCGTGACCCTATCACCCCCATCCTCGCCTGACTCCACTGGCTTCCCATCACACAGAGGATACAGTTCAAGATTCTGGTCCTCGCCTTCAAAGCCGTCCATGGTCTTTCTCCCCACTAACTCTCTGACCTCTTACCCTCCTACCATCCTGCTCGCTTCCTCTGCTCAGTGGGCTCCGGCCTGCTTCACGTCCCCTGCCGTGCTTACCCAACTATTGGCGGGTGGGCCTCCTGCCACTCTGCCCCCACCTTCTGGAACTCCATCCCGCAGTCCCTCCAACTCGCCCCCTACCTCGCCACCTTCAAGACCCACCTCAAGACCCTTCTCTTCGACAGTGCTTTTGATCTCCCTGCTTCCACCCCGGCCCTCTACCCTTCCCAATCCCGTCCCCCGCTTTGGAACGTCCTCCTGACATGAAAGGCGCTCTATAAATGTAATTTTGTTGTTGTTGTGTGTGGTCTGTGTGTGTGTGCCTGTGTGGTGTTGGTCTGTATGTGTGTGTGTGTGTGTGTGTGTGTGGTGTCTGTGACTCCCAGTCCAAAACTCTCCAGTGCCTTGGGACGTCCTCTCGACATGAAAGGCGCTCTACAAATGTAATTTTATTGTGGTTGTTGTTGGGTGCCGTGTTTGTGTGTGTGTGTGTGTGTGTGTGTATAATGGGGTCAGTGTGTGTGTTTATACAATGGGGGCAATATTAAAAGGTGTGTGTGACACTGATGACTGGGACCTGCCTCACTGTGGGTCTCTCTCTCAGTCTTTTAAAGGGCTCGGCAGTGGTACAACGGGATCCCAGATTAGCTTGGGACACACCAAGCACTACAGCAAAATGAGCCCTGGAACCCAACCCAACAGCTCACCGACCACCCCAGTCACCCCCACCTCCCCGCTGGGCAGCCCCAAGGTCAGCTTCGTCTCTCTCTGCGATGACCCCATGTTCAGAATCTTTGACAAGTTCAGCGAGGATGAGTTTGAAACAGAGATACAGTCTGAAGGTGAGAAGGGCAGAGGCACTGGTCTCCTGGGATCCAGACCCCAGTTATTGGGAGTCCTGTGGCTCAGTGGTTAGCGCGCTCGCCTCATAAGCGAGAGGGCACGGGTTTAATTCCTGGGCAGCCCGAAACCTCAGGGCAAGTTTCCTTACACCACACGCCTCTGGAAGTAAGAACCCAGTTGTTAGTTGATTGGTGGATTAGTAATAATCCCTCAAAAAGAAACTCTCTGTTCTCTCTCTCTCTCTCTCCGTGTGTGTGTGTGTGCCTGCGTGTGTCTCTAGGTGTGTTTGAGTGCCGCGTGTCTATGTGTGCCGTGTCTCTCTCTGACCTGCTGAGTCCCTACCAACCCGCCCACTCCCTCCGTCCAGCGGGCTCCGGGCTACTCCATGTCTCCCGCCCAACCATCGGTGGCCGGGCTCTCTGCCCCTACGCTCTGGAACTCCATCCCACGGTCCCTTCGCCTCGCTTCCTCCCTCGCCTCCCTCACGGCCGGTCTCAAGACCCTCCTCTTCGATCGTGCCTTTGGTCTCCCTCCCACCTCTCTGCCTTCCCTCACCCCTACACCCCCCCTGCCCCATGCTCGGGCCCCGACATCTGACTGTTCAGCGCTTTGGAACGTCCTCCCGACGTGAAAGGCGCTCTATAAATGTAATTTTGTTGTTGTTGTTGTGTGTGTGCGTGTGGTCTGTGTATGTCTGTTCTCTCTCTCTCTGTTCTCTCTCTCTCTATTCTCTCTCTTCAGATGAGAGAGAAACTAGAGGGACGCTGAGCCCTGAGGAAGTATACCGAGCAGCCTGTGAGGACCTAAATGTGACCCCTATCTCCTACTACATCCGCCACGTCAACGACAGTCACCTCAACCTCAACTATCGCTGCATGGGGCCCAAGGCTATTGAAGCCGTGGCCATTTCACTGGTGGTGAGTATCCAGTGATCCCTCCCCACCACCACCACCACCAGCTGCACATTGGATTGACCGTGTATTTTGTGGGGGAATCGAACCCGGGTCCTCTTGCTTGCAAGACGAGTGCTCTAACCGCTGAGCCAGAGGACTCCATAAATAAAGGGCAATAAAGCAAGCGGGTGCTGTCGCTCGGCAGGAAGGGGGGGGGAAGACTAAAACAACAACAACTTGGATTTATATAGCTCCCTCCACCCGTCTCGGAGTAGAGACGGACAACAGCCATCTGACTGACAGGGAGGGGAGGGGCTAATCGTAGCTGTGACTGACAGGGAGGGGGGGCTGTGACTGGCAGGGAGGAGGGGCTAATGGTGGGTGTGACTGGCAGGGAGGAGGGGCTAATGGTGGGTGTGACTGGCAGGGAGGAGGGGCTAATGGTGGGTGTGACTGGCAGGGAGGAGGGGCTAATGGTGGGTGTGACTGGCAGGGAGGAGGGGCTAATGGTGGGTGTGACTGGCAGGGGGGAGGGGCTAATGGTGGATGTGACTGGCAGAGAGGAGGGGCTAATGGTGGGTGTGACTGGCAGGGAGGAGGGGCTAACGGTGGGTGTGAATGGCAGGGAGGAGGGGCTAATGGTGGGTGTGACTGGCAGGGAGGAGGGGCTAACGGTGGGTGTGACTGGCAGGGAGGAGGGGCTAACGGTGGGTGTGACTGGCAGGGCAGCACGATGGTGAACACTTTGGAGCTGGAGGACAACTGGATCGAAGCCGAGGGCTTGAGGTACCTAATGGAAATGCTGTCGGAGAACTGCTACATCCAGGATCTGGTGAGAGCAGCGCTGCCGTGGACACCAGTCCACACCGCGAGCCCGGGCATGAGACCGTGTGCGTGTGCGTGTGTGCATGTGTGTACGTGTGCACTATGTCCATATGTGCCTGCGTGGTGTCTGTGCGTGAGATGGGGTGCGCTCACTGTATCATCGAATTATACAGCACAGAAGGAGGCCATTCGGCCCATCATGTCTGTGCCGTTCTTTGGAAAGAGCTTCCAAATCAACCCCACTCCCCCCCGCGCTCTCCCCATAGCCCTGATCAACCCCACTCCCCCGCTCTCTCCCCATAGCCCTGATCAACCCCACTCCCCCGCTCTCTCCCCATAGCCCTGATCAACCCCACTCCCCCGCGCTCTCCCCATAGCCCTGATCAACCCCACTCCCCCACTCTCTCCCCATAGCCCTGATCAACCCCACTCCCCCTGCTCTCCCCATAGCCCTGATCAACCCCACTCCCCCACTCTCTCCCCATAGCCCTGATCAACCCCACTCCCCCGCTCTCTCCCCATAGCCCTGATCAACCCCACTCCCCCGCTCTCTCCCCATAGCCCTGATCAACCCCACTCCCCCGCTCTCTCCCCATAGCCCTGATCAACCCCACTCCCCCGCTCTCTCCCCATAGCCCTGATCAACCCCACTCCCCCGCTCTCTCCCCATAGCCCTGATCAACCTCACTCCCCCGCTCTCTCCCCATAGCCCTGATCAACCTCACTCCCCCGCTCTCTCCCCATAGCCCTGATCAACCCCACTCCCCCGCTCTCTCCCCATAGCCCTGATCAACCCCACTCCCCCGCTCTCTCCCATAGCCCTGATCAACCCCACTCCCCCGCTCTCTCCCCATAGCCCTGATCAACCCCACTCCCCCGCTCTCTCCCCACAGCCCGGGAAACTTGTCCTCCTCATTCTCGAATTGGCTTCCACCAGCCTTTCAGGCAATGCATTCCAGTGTATGAGTGTGAGAGATGGTGTGAGCTCACTATCTCAGTGTAAGTGTGTGTGAGGTGGTGTGAGCTCACTATCTCAGTGTGTGTGTGTGTGAGGTGTGAGATGGTGTGAGCTCTCTATCAGTGTGTGTGAGATGGTGTGAGCTCACTATCAGTGTGTGTGAGATGGTGTGAGCTCACTATCAGTGTGTGTGAGATGGTGTGAGCTCACTATCAGTGTGTGTGAGATGGTGTGAGCTCACTATCTCATTGTGTGTGTGTGTGAGATGGTGTGAGCTCACTATCAGTGTGTGTGTGAGATGGTGTGAGCTCATTATCAGTGTGTGTGAGGTGGTGTGAGCTCACTATCAGTGTGTGTGAGATGGTGTGAGCTCACTATCAGTGTGTGTGAGATGGTGTGAGCTCACTATCTGTGTGTGTGTGTGTGAGATGGTGTGAGCTCACTATCAGTGTGTGTGTGAGATGGTGTGAGCTCACTATCAGTGTGTGTGAGATGGTGTGAGCTCACTATCAGTGTGTGTGAGATGGTGTAAGCCACACTGTTAATTGCTGCCCTTGCAGAACCTGGCCAGGAATAACCTCCGGACCAAAGGAGCAGCCGTCTTCTCTAAAATGCTTCCCCATAACATCTCCCTCAAGTCCATCAATCTCTCCAGTAGGTGTGAGTGTATGCGTGTGCTCTGTGAGTGTATGCGTACGTGTTTTTGCGTGCACGTGCACGTATGTGTGTTTGTACACGGGTTAGCCTCCTCCTTCACACGGAATCTCAAGCCCCCGTTTACACCCACTTGTCTTTGGGAGAACGTTGTCGTCGGTTGCCACTCGAGGTGTGAAATTCCAGTCCAGTCTCTCAGGCCGTCGGCCGGTTTTTAGGGCGGCGGAAAAACGACGGTACTTAAAAAGAGATCCCAGCTCTTGAAGTTAAAAAATGAAGGTTTCAAGAATCTTAAAACAATTTTTGCCATAAAATACACAGTGACTCCACTTTACAACATCTGGTGTATATGTGCGTATGTGCTTGTATTCAGGGTGTCCACAAAGTCCTGTTCCCCGTGTTTTTCTCTACAGTGCACTGACCAACACTAACATGTGGAAGGATGATGATAATTGTATCTAGAATTGTATTCAGTGCAGAGTTTAACTGTATTTAAACGTTCAGAGGATCGGTGTGTGGGTGTGAGTGTACATTTGTGTATGTGTGTGTCTGTAAGTGTACGTGTGTGAGTGTGCGTGCGCGTATGTGCGCGTGCGTACCCATGTGTGCGTACGTGCGTGTGTGTACGTGTGTGCGTGCGTACGTGTGTGTGAGTGCGTACGTCCGCGTGTGTGAGTGTGAGTGTGCGTGAGTGTGTGCATACGTGTACGTGTGTGCGCGTAGGTGTGTGCGCGCGCGTACGTGTGAGTGTACGCGCGTGTGTGTGTGTGTGAGTGTACGCGTGCAAGGGAATTGCCGATGGTTCCGAGATGAGCTGCTTTTGTGCCGCGCGCTCTCTTGCTGAAGTGGATCCCTTGATGCCACAGGGAACCATTTCAGAGATAACGATGCTGAGTACTTTGCTGACGCCTTCGCAGTGAGTAAATAGCAAGACTCTGAGCTACTCCGTCTTCCCTCCGCTCACTCATCCGTCCGTTAGCAACCTCCGCGACCTGCTGCTTCCGCTGCGTGTTTCGGGGGTCTCTCCTCCCTCACGCAAGCCCCCGTTTACACCCACTTATCTTTGGGAGGATGTTGTGGCCGGTTGCTCAATCGAGATGTGAGATTCCACCCAGTCTCTCAGCCTGTTGGACGGTTTTTAAGACGGCAGAAAGACGACAGTTTTCCCCGGTTCTTTACGAAGAGGTCCCAGCTTTCGAATTGAAAAGAATTAAGGTTGGAAGAGTTTTACACAACTCCACGACCAAACAATTCTCGCCCACAAAATACGCAGTCACTCCACTTCACAAAATATTCTGGGGAGCGCTTTGAGACGTCTTAATGACGTGATAAGGCGCTCTGTCAAATGCAAGGATTATTATTTTTAGTCAGAAAAGATTCTGACATGCTGAGACTGAGTGGAATTTTGGGCCCATGGGTCCATTTAGAAGATTGCGGCAAAGATTGTGAGGTCTTAAAGGAAACCTTGTGTTCGTTTCATAGCACGCGTTTTGTGGAGGGATGTCCTCCCAACGTGAAAGGAGCTGTTGTTATGGTGTATCCGTGTGTTTAGTAGCCTGAGGATAAGTTATAAAATGCCATCTGTATCCGTGACCCCGTTATCTTTAATAATTTGCCCCTAACATGCATGTTAAAGTCTAATTTTAGGGTCACACACCTCGACCTCAGTAACAATGAGTTTGGAGAGAAAGGAGGGGAAGAGTTGGGCCAGTTGATAGGTGAGCACTAACTCTGGCAACTCCGTCATGCTTTGCGATCATCCTCCACCTCCCTCACGCTTGACAGTATCTCCCCCGTGATATAATGATATATAATATAATGGAGTAAGGAAACTTGCCCTATTGTTAGTCGATTGGAGGATCGCTTTTCTGGCGGTAATAATCCCTCCCCATCCAAAAAAAGAATTTGGTCACTCAATCCATGACTACATTATAGAACTCTACATTACGAGATTTGAGCCCGGGCTGATAGCTTGGCTGGGCTGGGATCTGCATTGCATTAAGTAGTTAATAGGAATAATCCTTGTGGCGCCAGGAATATCGGAACATCTCCTGTAGCTCCTGGTTAGAGCACTCGCCTCGCAAGCGAGAGGACCTGGGTTCAATTCCGAGGCAGGTCGAAACCTTAGGCAAGTTTCCTTACTCCACACGCCTCTGTTTACTTAGCAGTAATTAGGAACCCGGTTGTTAGTCAATTGGTGGATCACTTTCTGGAGGTAAAACCCCTTCAAAAAATAATAATTTGGTCACTCAATCCATGACTGTTTGTGCGTAATTGGCTCCCCACAAAATATACAGTCACTACACTTTACAGTATATTCTGTGAAGCGCTTTGAGGCGTCTCGAAGACGTGATAAGGAGCTGTATGAAAAGAAAGGATTATTATTACTAATAAGTGTTTCTCCAGAGACCCCAGTGGAGATGGCCTGGACATTGGCCAAGGTGAGCATTGGACTCTGTTCTGATGCCACCATCATTCCTCCCCACCCAATGCCTTCTGGCTATACGGGGGGCGGCGGGGGTGGGGGGCTGCGTTACCCCTTGATTACACTGATACAACCTGCGCTCGCTCCTAACCCCTTCTTTTTCTCCTGGAAGCATACAGCGAGAGTCTGGTGCAACTGGACATCAGCTGGAACCAGATACAGCTGAGGGGTGCCATGGCTATCAGTGCAGGACTGCGGGTGAGAACTCACACGTTCCCCAGCACGGGCTTCCCTCCTTCCTTCCTCCCTCCCTCCCTCCCTGCTCTTCCTCCCCCCACCTCCCTCATCGTCCTCAGCTTTGTGGAACTAAACCCAAGCCCACCCAGCCCCTAATCCTGGCTAATCGTACAGCTCTGGGTACAGTCACTGCCTCCCTCTTCCTGTGTCTCTGGTCTCCGCAGCTCAACATGATGCTGAAGGTCCTCAACTTGGCCAACAACGGCTTCGGGAATGAGGGGGCTCTGGCTCTCGGAGAGGCTCTGAGGCACAACAGCTACCTGCTCGAGCTGAACCTGAAGAACAACCACATTGGGATCGAGGGTGTCAGCATGCTGTGCAGAGGACTGGAAGTCAACGACACACTCCGAGTCCTGGATGTAAGTCAGTCTCACTTGATAATAAGTAATAATAATCATTGATTATAATAATAATAATCCTTGCATTTGGCCATATTGTACCTTTGAGACGTCTCAAAGCGCTTCACAAGATATACTGTAAAGTGAGTTGACTGTATATTTTGTGGGCGAAACGCAGCAGCCAATTGCGCAAAGCAGCGTCCCACAAACAGTCATGGATTCAGTGACCAAATTATTATTATATTTTTTATTATATTTTTCAAAGGGATTATTACCCCTGAAAAAGAGATCCATCAATCCATTAACAACCGGGTTCCTACTTACTGCTCGGTAAACAGAGGCGTGTGGAGTAAGAAAACTTGCCCAACGTTTTCCTCTGCCCGTCAATCAAACCCGGTTCCTCTCGCTTGGGAGGCGAGTGCTCTAACCACTGAGCCACAGGACTTCCCTTGGCTGCTAATTGTCAAGACAACGCTTCATAGGATCTCACAGCCCAAGGGGACGTGTAGCCAGAGGAGCGAGTGGAGGGTCCAGTGGGGAAGCATTTCTGTCCTTTCATGGTTGGGGGAAGGGGAGGTGTGAGGGAAGGTTGGGTGATGAGGGGTGGGTGGGGGAAGGGGGGCTGGGGGGGTGAGGGGTGTTTGTGGGGGGTGAGTGGTGTTTGGAGGGGCGAGGGATGGGTGGGGGAAGGAGGGGTGAAGGGTGATTGGGGGAATGGGACGCTGGTGATTGTGGAGATGAGGAGTACATTGTGTTCTCATCGCTCTCTGTGTATGAAGCAATAGTTCCTGGCAACACTTTGCTGTCCTGTTGTTTGGTGTAATAGGGTGAGCTGACTACCTTTACTGGTCTCTGGACTGAAGCTCTCTCTCTCTTATCAGTTGGCCGACAACCCTCTGAAGGTGGAGGCTGCCTTCATCCTGCTGGCTGTCCTGAAAAAGAACCCCAAATCCCCAATGTACTGGTTCTCCCTCAAAGTAAGTCTTAAGTGTGAAACCTGACACTCGCACAAAGCATTGTAACCTAACAAGCGGTGAAATTTTATTGATAATTAGCGATTTCTTTCAGTTTCTGAAAAAACCTCCCCCTCGCCTACACACACCAATCCTCCGACACCCCTCCTCACTGCCCGTCCACAGCCACCCCCCCCCCCCCACCGCCCCCATCCCACCCACCACAACTCGGGCACAATGGTTTAGTTTGAAGCATATCCTAAAAATATCCAGCGGTCACTTTGAATTAGGGCCTGAACCATTGCAATTTACAGCACAGAAGAAGGCGGTTTAATAATAATCCTTGCAACGCCTTATCAAGTCTTCGAGACGTCTCAAAGCGCTTCACAGGATACACTGTAAAGTGAATCGACTGTATATTTTGGGGGTGAAACGGGGCAGCCAATTGCGCACAGCAGCGTCCCACAAACAGTCGTGGATTGAGTGACCACATTATTTTAATTTATTTGGAAGGAAATATTATCCCCGGAAAAGTGATCCGCCAATCGACTAACAACCGGGTTCCTGCTTACTGCCGGGTAAACAGAGGCGCGTGTGTGTGGAGTAAGGAAACTTGACCAACGTTTCGCCCTGCCTGGGGAATCAAAACCGGGTCCTCTCACTTGCGAGTCGAGCGCTCTGAACACTGAGCTACAGGACTCATATTGTTAGTGCTGTCTCTTTTAAGAGCAATCCTTTCAGTCCCCTTTACCCCTCATACCCCTGTAGTTTACGAGGCAAGTGGTTTACACAGGGCGCACAATGGAACTTAATGCCTTTGTGGCCGTGGCGGTGTTGGACTGTGCGGGCCAATGTGTGACAGGAGGTTGGGGGGATCGGGGTGTGGTGGGGGAAGCTGGGGACTCTATGTGGACAGGAGCCCTGGTTGGCCTGGGTCTTAGCAGATGTCCTCACCTGCAGAACGTGATCGTGAACGAAGCCTTCATGGACCAATTGAGGAGCATGAAGGAGGAAAGGTCAAGGTTGATCTTCATAACCGCGGGCTTGGGCAGCGCCTTCAACAAGAAGCTATTACGTCGGACTTTTCCGATGAAAGTGATCCAGGTATGTTCCCACATTCCCAGTCTCCCCCCACACCACATTCCCCCTCTCCCAAAACTCCCCCCCCCACACTCCAAGGCCCCAAACTCCCCCCCAATCTCGGGCTTGCCTTTGAGACCATTTTGCCTTAAAGCTTAAAAAAGTCTCCATTTGATAGCCTGTCATCCCCAGCTTCTTAAGAAGAACCCGGCTCCCAAACCAAGGCTGGACTGAGGAATCGTCCGCCCTTCTGCACCACTAACAATTTGAAGATGAAATGGTTTACACGGATTAAAACTAAATGATAATAATCCTCGCATTTGAGACAGTGCCCTTCACTGTCAGGAGGACTTCTCCAAGCGCTTCACTGGATTTTGCTGTCGAGTGTGTTTTGTTGGCAAAAATAAGATCAGTCGGGGACTTAGCGTTGAGGCAATGGGGGCTTTCCTGCTCACTGATCCTCAGCTGCAGGTTTAGTTGTAACCCACATGGAGTTTTTGTGACCCACAGGATTTCCTGGAGAAGCGCAAGCTCCGCCTCTTGGATTTTTTCAAGAACATGGACAAGGAGGGAAACATGAAGGTGTCTGTGTCTGATTTCCGCAAGGCGCTGCAGGTCTGTGCACAAACTCACATGAAGCACACCGCTGAGAGCATATCCTCTCTGGGTGCATCGAAGGCGTGGTGGGGGAGCCGGTGGGGGTGGGGGGAAGGTTGTGGAACTCGTTGCACTCTGTGCTGTGGCCAGAGATCACACGGTTCTGTCAGTCACTAGCAACAGCTTCCAAAGTGTCTACTCTACCCAATCTGGGTTAGAGACACAGTAAAGCTCCCTCTACACTGTGCGTCCACACTCCCAGGTCAGGGTTAGAGACACAGTAAAGCTCCCTCTACACTGTGCGTCCACACTCCCAGGTCAGGGTTAGAGACACAGTAAAGCTCCTCTACACTGTGCGTCCACACTCCCAGGTCAGGGTTAGAGACACAGTAAAGCTCCTCTACACTGTGCGTCCACACTCCCAGGTCAGGGTTAGAGACACAGTAAAGCTCCTCTACACTGTGCGTCTACACTCCCAGGTCAGGGTTAGAGACACAGTAAAGCTCCCTCTATATTTCCCATGTTTAATGCCAGCCTTCCATTCACCTCTCAATAACTCCTGATTTAATCAGTTGTTTAGCCGAAAACGTAGCTTTGGGGGGAGGGGAGAAAATAAGAGTTTGTCATTCTCTCCCATACCTGGATTTTGGAATTGTATCCCAACAGAGATACCAAATCCCTCTGGATCGGGTTCAGATTGAGGAGCTGTTCTCGAAGATTGATAAGGACAATGTCGGACAAGTGGACTACAGGTAGGGGATTAAGCAATGGAGCAGTTTCCGCGGGAAAATAGCGGGCGAGATTAGAAGGGCCATCACTATGACATATGCAGTATACGATATGTGTGGAACAGGCTCCCAAGAGAGACGGTGGTGGCAAAAAGTGTTGATTCTTTCAAGACCAAATGAGATAGATTTCTGTTAGGAAATAATATCTGGGGAGACAGTATATAGTTTGGGATAATACATGTCAAGCGACTGCCAGGATGGTGGAAGGTGAACTGGATGGACCTTGGTCTTCTCTTGCCTAGCATGTTCTTATAATAATAATATAATAATAATCCTTGCATTTGATATAGTGCTTTTCACGTCTTCTCGACGTCTCAACGCTCATCACAGAATATACTGTAAAGTGAATTGACTGTATATTTGTGGGCGAAACGCGGCAGCCAATTGCGCACAGCAATGTCCCACAAACAGTCGTGGATTGAAAATGACCGATTTATTATTGTTTTGTTTTGGAGAGATTATTAATAGGCGTGTGGAGTAAGGAAACTTGTCCAAGGTTTCTCCCTGCCTTGAAATGAACCCAGATGTCTCGCTTGCAAGGCGGGTGCTCTAACCACTGAGCTGCAGGACCACTGAGCTCATGTCAGTCCAGGAAAGAGATCAGAAAGAGTGAAGCGCTTTGAGATGTCTCGAAGACGTGATAAGGGGCTATATCAAATGCAAGGATTATTATTTTTTTTATCTCTTGGCAAATAAAAAGCTTCCTGAAAGAGGTACCCCCAGAGGCCCCAGAAGATGTAGATCATGAGACAGCTACCAAAGATGGTCAACCTTTGCCAAATACAGCCAAAGTTCCACCAGAGAAAGAGACAGAAATGCAGGTTGACAGAGAGGACAATGACAAATAACCCCTCAATGCCAATATGTCATTAAACCTGAAAAGAAACCAGATCTGACTTTATTTACCACAGTACTATTTTACAACAACAAGATTCCATTTATAAAGCGCCTTTCACGTCAGGAGGACGTCCCAAGGCGCTGCACAGTTGGGTCATGACCCGAGCAGGGGGGAAATGGTCAGGGTGAGGGGAGGGAAGGGAGGGAGCGAGGAGGGGGAAGAGAGTCGAGAGGGGAGCTGAAGGCACGGTCAAAGAGAAAGGTTTTGAGACCGGCCTTGAAGGAGGAAAGGGAGGAAGCGGCGAAGGCACTGGGGGATGGAGTTCCAGAGCCTGGGGGCTGAGAGGCTGAAGGCCCGACCACCGATGGTAGGGCGGTTGGGGCGGGGGACGTGGAGCAGACCGGAGCCAGAGGAACGGAGGGTACGGGCAGGTAGGTAGGGGGATAGTAGGTTGGAGAGGTAGGAGGGAGCAAGGCCGTGAATGGCCTTGTAGGTGAGGATGAGGATCTTGAAATCAATCCTCTGGGGGATGGGGAGCCAGTGGAGGCGAGCGAGGGTGGGAGTGATGTGGTCCCGAAGCCTGGTGCGGGACAGTACACGAGCTGCAGAGTTCTGAATGACCTGCAGTGTGGAGGGAGGGCCGGGAAGGCCGGCGAGGAGAGAGTTCCCATAGTCCAGCCTTGAGGTGACAAAGGCGTGAACCAGGGTTTCAGCAGCGTGAGGGGTGAGGTAGTGCCGTAGTCTGGCGATGTTCCGGAGGTGATGGAAGGCGGTGCCAGTTGTGGTGCGGATGTGAGGGAGAAAGGACAGCTCAGGGTCGAACAAAACGCCGAGGTTCCTGACTGGCTTTGAGAGGTGGAGAGTGCAGCCTTGGATGCTGATGGTGTCAGCGCCTGAGGTGCGGAGGCGCTGACGTGAGCCAATCAGGAGGGCCTCGGTTTTTCGCACGTTGAGCTGAAGAAAGTTGTCTCTCGTCCAGGACTCGATGTCGGACAGGCAGCTGTCAGGACATCGGTGGTCGTGGAGTTGAGAGTAGAGGAGGAAAGGTAGAGTTGGGTGTCATCCGCATACATGTGGAAGTTAACTCCATGTCTGCGGATGATGTCACCGAGGGGGAGCATATAGAGGGTGAAGAGGAGGGGACCGAGGACAGAGCCCTGAGGGACACCACATGAGACAGTACGGGGGGTGGAGGAGAAGCCATTCGTCGAGACAAAGTGAAGACGGTGAGAAAGGTACGACCTAAACCATTCAAGGACAGTGCCTTGAAGGTTGAGGTGGGAGGACAAGCGGTGGAGTAGGATAGCGTGGTCGACCGTATCGAATGCTGCCGATAGGTCGAGGAGGACGAGGAGACAGAGGGAGCCCTGGTCACAGATGGTCAGGATATCATTGGTGACCTTGACCAGGGCAGTTTCTGTGCTATGGGCAGCACGGAAACCTGACTGAAGGGGTTCGAAAAGAGAATGGGTGGAAAGGAAAGAGCGCAGTTGGGAGGCGACAACTCTTTCCAAGACCTTGGAGAGAAAGGGGAGGTTGGAGATGGGCCGGTAGCTTGATAGCTGCGACGCATCAAGGGAGGGTTTTTTCAGGGTGGGCGTGATGATGGCAGTTTTTAATGGAATGGGGACAGAGCCAGAGGAGAGGGACAGGTTGATGATGTCAGTGATATGTGGGGCAAGAAAGTGGAGCTGGGAGATAAGGAGTGGAGTGGGGATGGGGTCAAGGGAGCAGGTGGTTGGTTTTAGGGATTGGATGAGTTCAGTGACAGAGGGTGGGGAAACGGGTACAAAGGTGTGTAGGGGAGGATGGGTAGGAGTCGGAGTGTGGGAGGGAAGGGGTGGGTGGTGGGTGGAAGTTGGAGGGGAAGTGACCGCGCAGCGGATTCCCTTGATCTTGGATTCAAGGAAATCCAGCATCTCCTCGCAGTGAAGGTTGGAGGAGATGACCTGCGCGGGGTGGCGGGGGGGACGGAGGAGTCGGGTTGTGGTGGAAAACAGTAGCCTGGGGTTGTTCTTCGCCTCCAGGATTATCCTGGAGTATTTTGAAAAGGCACTATTTTATCTATAATAATAATAATAATCCTTGCATTTGATACAGCGCTTTTCACTTCTTCTGGACGTCCCAAAGCGCTTCACAGAATATACTGTAAAGTGAATTGACTGTATATTTGTGGGCGAACGCGGCAGCCAATTGCGCACAGCAATGTCCCACAAACAGTCATGGATTGAAAATGAACAGTTTATTATTGTTTTGTTTTTTTGGAGGGATTATTATTAGGCTCTGTGTGGAGTAAGGAAACTTGCCCAAGGTTTGGCCCTCTGCCTGGAATTGAACTCAGGTCTCTCACTTGCAAACTATAACTGCTCCTCTTCATATTTCATCCACATCTGAAACTCTCTGGAACAAATTTCATCCAACAAAATAATCCTTGCATTTGATATAGTGCTTTTCACTTCTTCTTGACATCTCAAAACGCTTCATGGAATAGACTGTAAAGTGAATCGACCGTATATTTGTGGGCGAAACGCGGCAGCCAATTGCGCACAGCAGCGTCCCACAAACAGTTTTGGATTGAAGTGACCAATTTTATCATTTTTTTTCTTCTTGAGGCATTATTATCAGGCGTGTGGAGTAAAGAAACTTGCCTAAGGTTTTGTCCTGCCAGGAAACGAACCCAGGTCTCTCACTTGCGAGGCGAGTGCTCTAACCACTGAGCTACAGGACAATATCATCTTAAAGTTCAAAGTGGGGGACCGAACTGTGGAAATTTCCTGAACCCAGTCTTAGCTTTCTAGTTTAAGATCGGCGGAAAACCATCTTCCAAATGAAGACTGACCGGATGGAGGAATTTTCCACAATTCCCACCCGGTTGTAAGTTTAAAGACAAAAAGGCTAAGATGAGGTGGAATTTTAGGCCTTTCTCTCTGAGCTGCCCCAGTAGCATCGGCACTTTTGCGTAGGACCTTTGATTCCCGGGTGGGGTCAAACCTTCAGCAAGTTTCCTTACTGTTTGCCTCACAGTAAGGTATTAGTCGATTGGGGAATTGCTTTCCAGGGGCAATAACCCCTCAAACAACAAAAAATATGGCCACTCAATCCATGACTGTTTGTGGGACGCTGCTGTGCGCAATTGGCTGCTGCGTTTTTCCCACAAAATATGCAGTCAATCCGCTTTACAGTATATCCAGTGAAGCGCTTTGAGACGTTCAACGAGGTGATAAGGCATTGAATCAAATGCAATGATTAATAATATTATTGTAATGTTTTCAGCCACCCAGTATCACTTTCCAGATCCACGTATTACCATCACTTGTGGCTCTGTAACGTCTTTCGTGTAAGCTAACCTCTCAGAGTGCTTTACAGGGATCAGGGAGCAAGGCAAGAGGGGAGTGGGAGAAACTCGAGGTTGCCCGGGAACACAGCGTAGACCTGTAACGTATCGATCGCAGGGCATTGAAATCGCTTGGGTGCGAGAATATTTCATAATGTATTTGGAATTTGCTCTCCTACCTCCTCTCCCTCCACTCCCTCCCTCCCTCCACTCCCTTGCCCCCCAATTTCCCATCTTCTCTTTGACCATCCCATCCTCTCCGCACCCGCAACTCTCTCCACCATTTGGGGCCGAGCAGGAATCTGGTCGACACCAGGAAGCAGATGGTTCAGGAGCAGCGGAGAGAGCAGAGGAAGGCGGAATCCCAGCAGCGGATGGAGCGGAGGAAGAGCGACCACCTGCTCAACTCGTTCAGGGGGGCGGTGGAGGCCGTCAGACCAGGAAGCTCCTCCATCACCTCCTCCAGTCACAGGCTCCCTGACCTCCATCCCCAGGACTCACTTGGCTCCTCCTCGGACGCCCCGCTCAGCCCCTGGCGCAGGCCGGAGGGCGCGGACAGCAGCCGGTACTCGCTGCCCAGCCTGAGCCGGGAGAGATTGCACCACCCGCTCAGCGTTGCCCACCCCGGCCCCGCGCATTCCGTCTCCCTCTGCCGCCTGCCCGCGGACCCCAGGAACAGCCTAGTCTCCCGACCCGACCTGGTCCCAAACCCCGGCCCGCGCCGTGCCCCCCGCCCCAGCACCACCTCCAATCTCATTGGCAAACCGGCACCGCCCGTCGCTTCTGGCCAACTCACAGCCTTGACAGGGCAACGCAAGCCACACAGAGAGAGAGAGAGAGAGCGAGAGAGAGAGAGACGGTGATTACAGATAGGTCAGCGATAAGAGGCTTCTTTGCACTGATGTAGCACCGGCCATTCAACCGTCCGAGTGTGGAAGGCACTGTATCAAGCCACGTTTTATTCATTTAGAGAACACCGCCCAGCAGGGAATCGCTGACAAGTGTAGTGACTGCGTAACTGCAACCAGCTGTTACACAGTCACTACACTTGTCAGCGATTGTCAACATCCCACTCTCTCTCTTCTTGCTCTCCTCGGACACCTCCCGCTGCTCTGACCTGCCTCCCAGTAATCAGCGACCTTTGCCTGAACACTCTCTCTCTCCCTCTCCCACCCACCCCCTCCCCGATCGCACCTCCATCATCATCACCCCCCCCCCCAACCACCACGAGCCCCGGCTGAAGGCACTGAGTGACTGTAGGAATTTGGGAGTTTTGACCAGGTTGGGGGGTGGTGAGAGCTGTGCTCGATCTTGATCTCACTCAGTATCGACACAAACCCCACCCGCACGTTACCCACTCTAACCCGCACGCATTAGAATGTGGAGACTTCGTCCCGACTTGAAGAGCGCTGCGTAAGTGCAAGTTGTTGTTGCACGCGGCAGGTGGCGGTTTTGCATTGTGCGCGCCGCAAAATGCATTTTAATTGCTGCAGGCACGCGTGAGATTCCTCCCTCTCCGCCCTCCCCCCCCCACCCCTTGCCGTGCTGTGAACCAGGAAGCCCAGGTAGGTGAGTTTACTGAGTATTCAGGCAGAATAATTAGTTCGAGTAATTAGTTACCCGTCGAGATCGGCAGTGGGACTTGCAGTTTGTCCGGATGGAACGTCAGCGCCTTGGAACGCCCCTCCCGGTGTGAAAGGCGCTAAATACATGCGATTTGTCGTGGTGGTTGTGTAGATGTTAATATAATATTGTACTGTAGCTCAGGCTCTCCACTGCGTGTCAAATCGAAGCATTGTGGTGTTCTGGTTGACGCCAGTGGGAGTCACTGTTTGACGGGGAAACTTGCCTCTACCCCCCCCAGCGTTAAAATAATAATAACCCCTTACATTGAACAGGCAGAGGGCGAAACTTTGGGCAAGTTTCCTTACTCCACACAGAGCCTAATAATAATCCCTCCAAAACCAAAAACAATAATAAATTGGTCATTTTCAATCTACGACTGTTTGTGGGACATTGCTGTGCGCAATTGGCTGCCGCGTTCGCCCACGAATATACAGTCAATTCACTTTACAGTGTGTTCTGTGAAGCGCTTTGGGACGTCCTCCCGACGTGAAAAGCGCTATATCAAATGCAAAGATTATTATTATTATTATAACACAGTGCCTTTCACGATTGGGGGAGACATTGGAGCTCAGCGGTTAGAGCGCTCACCTCGCAAGCGAGTAGTCCTGGGTTCAATTTCCGGCAGGCGAAATGCTGGGCAGGTTTCCTTACTCCACACGCCTCTGTTTATCCTGTAGTAAGTAGGAACCCGGTTGTCAGTTGATTGGTGGCGGCTCGCTTCTCTGGGGGTAATAACCCCTTCAAAAAAAAATGATAATAATAAATTGGTCACTGTTTGTGGGACGAGGCTGTGCACGACCGGCTGACGCGTTTCACCCACAAAATATGCAGTCAATTTAGTTTAGAGTATGTTCTGTGAAGCGCTTTGAGATGCCGCGAAGATGTGCATCATACGCAAGGATTATTATTATTATTATTATTATTGTTAAATTCCCAAAGCGCTTCACAGAATTCACAGTAAAATTCAGCGACTGCGGCGGGTTCTTGTGGGCGAAGGAAGGATTTTCGGAGCGAACTTAATCAGTCGCTATGACACTCCTCTCACTAAAGCGAACGTATGCTTTGCTATATGGTCTGAACTAAATTTATGTCAATAGAGGAAAATAATAACCGATGAGCCAAGCCCAGGTTTGATCGGTGGTGGGGGGTGGCGGGGGGGGAGCTGGTCTCAGCTGGGAGAAAGAGTATGTACGCGAAGATTGGGGGGGGGGGGGGGTGATGAGAGTGAAAGCGAGTGTGTAAGGGTGTGTGCGAGAGGGCGAGTATGTGTGGGTGTGTAAAGCAACTTATTTGCCTGAATGTGCAATCAGAGTGAATCTGTTTCGAAGGAAACCAGGGCTGTCCGTTCAGTGGAAGGATTAAATACTCACTGCGTGACGCTCGCTGGTCATTGGAAAACTTGATGCTTCGCTGGAAATAATAATAATAATCCTCACGTCAGGTATAGCGCCCAACGGAGCGACGTATCCGAACGCTGATCCGCACAGGTCACCGACCCCAAGCGTAGTGACCGTGTACTTTGCAGGCGAATAAATACGTGAGCCGATTTGCGCACAGGAAGGTCTGTGCCCGCAACGCGTCCGGTCACCGCGTCTCACAGTGAATGCTACAAAAACCGGGCGGCCATCCCCGGCGAAGGGCGCCGGACACAGGCAAGTTGTTGTCGTCGTCGCGAAAGGCTTCGGGGAGTCTTCCCCCAACGTGGAAAGAGTTGTGAGAGTTTATTTGTTTGTTTGTTTGTTTGTTAATTAATTACTAATAAGTTGAGTACCAGGAAGTGAGTGTGTGCTCAGTATTTACTACACGTTTCAATCCAATCGACTCAGAAACAGAAACTCGGAGCAGTGTAAGGGGGGTGAGTGTGTAAGGGGGTGAGTGTGTAAGGGGGTGAGTGTGTAAGGGGGTGAGTGTGTAAGTGGGGGTGAGCGTGTAAGGGGGGTGAGCGTGTAAGGGGGTGAGCGTGTAAGGGGGTGAGTGTGTAAGGGGGTGAGTGTGTAAGGGGGTGAGTGTGTAAAGGGGGTGAGTGTATAAGGGTGTGTGTGCAAGGGGTGTGAGTGTGTAAGGGGTGTGTAAGGGGGTGAGTGTGTAAGGGGAGGGTGTGAGTGTGTAAGGGGTGTGTAAGGGGTGTGAGTGTGTAAGGGGGTGAGTGTGTAAGGGGGGTGAGTGTATAAGGGTGTGTGTGCAAGGGGTGTGAGTGAGTGTGTAAGGGTGTGTGTAAAGGGGTGAGTGTGTAAGGGGAGGGGTGTGAGTGTGTAAGGGTGTGTGTAAGGGGTGTGAGTGTGTAGGGGGTGAGTGTGTAAGGGGTATGAGTGTGTAAGAGGTGTGTGTGAGTGTGTAAGGGAGTGTGTGAGTCTGTAAGGGCGTGTGTGAGTGTGTAAGGGGGTGTGTGAGTGTAAGGGTGTGTGTGTGAGTGTGTAAGGGGGTGTGAGTGTGTAAGGGGGTGTGAGTGTGTAAGGATGTGTGAGAGGGGGGTGTGAGTGTGTAAGGGTGTGTGTGAGTGTGTAAGGGTGTGTGTGAGAGTGTGTAGGGGTGTGTGTGAGTGTGTAAGGGTGTGTGAGAGGGGGTGTGTGAGTGTGTAAGGGTGTGTGTATGAGTGTGTAAGGGTGTGTGTGTGTGTGTAAGGGTGTGTGAGAGGGGGTGTGTGAGTGTGTAAGGGTGTGTGTGTGAGTGTGTAAGGGTGTGTGTGTGTAAGGGTGTGTGTGAGAGTGTGTAAGGGGATGTGTGTGAGTGTGTAAGGGTGTGTGAGAGGGGGTGTGTGAGTGTGTAAGGGGATGTGTGTGAGTGTGTAAGGGTGTGAGTGTGTGTGTAAGGGTGTGTGTGTGAGTGAGTGTGTAAGGGTGTGTGAGTGTGTAAGTGTGTGTGAGTGTGTAAGTGTGTGTGTGAGTGTGTAAGTGTGTGTGTGTGAGTGTGTGTGTAAGTGTGTGTGTGAGTGTGTAAGTGTGTGAGAGTGTGTAAGGGTGAGTGTGTGTGAGTGTGTAAGGGTGTGAGTGTGTGTGTAAGGGTGAGTGTGTGAGTGAGTGTGTAAGGGTGTGTGAGTGTGTAAGTGTGTGTGTGTGTGTAAGTGTGTGTGTGAGTGTGTAAGTGTGAGCCAGTCAGTGTGTGTGAGTGTGTAAGTGTGTGAGAGTGTGTAAGGGTGTGAGTGTGTGTGTGTGAGTGTGTAAGGTGTGTGTGAGTGTGTAAGGTGTGCGTGTGTGAGTGTGTAAGGTGTGTGTGAGTGTGTAAGGTGTGGTGTGTGTGAGTGTGTAAGGGTGTGCGTGTAAGTGTGTGTGTAAGTGTGTGTGAGTGTGTAAGTGTGTGAGTGTGTAAGCGTGTGTGTGAGTGAGTGTGAGTGAGTGTGTAAGGGTGTGTGTGAGTGTGTAAGGGTGTGTGTGAGTGAGAGTGTGTGTGTGAGTGTGTAAGTGTGTGTGTGAGTGTGTAAGTGTGTGTGTGTGTGAGTGTGTAAGGGTGTGTGTGTGAGTGAGTGTGTAAGGGTGTGAGTGTGTAAGGGTGTGTGTGTGAGTGTGTAAGGGTGTGTGTGTGAGTGTGTAAGGGTGTGTGTGTGAGTGTGTAAGGGTGTGAGTGTGTAAGGTGTGTGTGTGAGTGTGTAAGTGTGTGTGTGAGTGTGTAAGGGTGTGTGTGTGTGAGTGTGTAAGGGTGTGTGTGTGTGAGTGTGTAAGGTGTGTGTGAGTGAGTGTGTAAGGGTGTGTGAGTGTGTAAGGGTGTGTGTGAGTGTGTGTGAGTGTGTAATGGTGTGTGTGTGTGAGTGTGTAAGGGTGTGTGTGTGAGTGTGTAAGGGGTGTGTGTGAGTGTGTAAGGGTGTGTGTGTGTGAGTGTGTAAGGGTGTGAGTGTGTGTGTGTGTGTGAGTGTGAGGGGGGGGGCGGCCCCTGCCGCGGGGCGGGGGAGACCCTGTGCTGTCAGGCGGGTCGGCACTAAGATGGCGGCGGCGGCGGTGGGGAGTGTGTGACCGAGAGACAGACACAGAGAGACAGAGAGAGAGAGAGAGAGAGGAGCCGCCACCGCACCGCACCGCCCGCACAGCCCCGCACCGCCCGCCCGCACCGCACCGCCCGCCATGGGGCTGTGAGGGGGGAGACCACCATTACACACACCGCCTCCATCACCGCCACCACCACCACCACCAGCCCCGCGGGCGGCGGGAGCGGCGCTGACAGTCGGGCCTCGGGCCTCGGGGATGAGCGGCGAGTGAGGCCGGGCCGGGCCGGGAGCGGGGCGGGGCGGGGCGGGGGGGCTCGGTGTACCTGCCCGAGCCCGAGCCCGGGCCCGGGAGAGAGGAGGAGAGAGGAGGAGGGCGGCCCCCGGGGCCCTGTTTACTCCGCCCGCGCTGTGAAGCCGCGCCGCGCCGCCCCGGGGACGGAGCCTCCGCCCTCCGCCCTCCCGCCCGAGGCCATGGCGGACACCCGGCGGCGGGTCAAGGTCTACACCCTGAACGAGGAGCGGCAGTGGGACGACAGGGGCACCGGACACGTCTCGTCCAGTTACGTGGAGAGGTTCAAGGGGATGTCTCTGCTCGTCAGGGCCGAGTCTGACGGTGAGGCAGTCGGGGGCTGAGGGGCTGAGCGCCAACCGGACTCCGGCACCGAGTGTGTCCAGAGGGGCACCGAGTGTGTGTCCAGAGGGGCACCGAGTGTGTGTCCAGAGGGGCACCGAGTGTGTGTCCAGAGGGGCACCGAGTGTGTGTCCAGAGGGGCACCGAGTGTGTGTCCAGAGGGGCACCGAGTGTGTGTCCAGAGGGGCACCGAGTGTGTGTCCAGAGGGGCGGTGAGTGTGTGTCCAGAGGGGCGAGTGTGTGTCCAGAGGGGCAGTGAGTGTGTGTCCAGAGGGGCGGTGAGTGTGTGATGGGGAATGAGTCTGTGATGAGATGAGTGTTTGTGTGAAGAGGGGGTGAGTGTGTAAACTGGTGAATGTGTGTATGTCTGAGGGGGTTGAAGTGTGTGAGGGAGTAAGTCTGTAAAGAGGTGAGTTTGTGTGAGGGGGAATGAGTGTGAAAGAGGTGAGCGTGTCAGGGGAGTGTTTATAACTGGGCCAAGTGAGTGTGAGTCCTTGCATTTGATATAGCACCTTCTCACGTGGTTGAGACGTCTCAAAGTGCTTCACAGACAACCGTAACGTCAATTGGTTGTGTACTTTGTGGGTGAAACGAGTGGTGTGTCCCTGTGTTGCACTCAATGGCTCATTCACTGCGCTTGTGTGTGTTTTGTCAGTTAGTGTCAGGAAACACCTGACATGTGTGCCTACCGCTGCCTGCCGCCCTTGCCCACAAAAACACACGATTGCCCGGAACCCACGACTCCGAACCATCCGTGTTCTTGATGCGGGGTCTTATCGTGGCATCGTCGGGTCATAGGATTTCACTGCAAAGTGGATTCAATAGGTGAACGCCAGTTTGCGCACAGAGTCATCCCGCGAGCGACCATTAGGTCAGCAGCAGATGTTACCCGGGGGAATAGTTGGCCAGGACACCGGGAGAGAGCAACACTACGGGATCTTTAACATCCACTTAAACAGAACTCTGTTTAATATCTTGTCTGGAGGAGAGCACCTCTGACAAAGCAGGGCTTCCCCTAAGCGCTGCGCTGGAGTGTCAGCCTGGACCACGAGCTAAAAATCCCCATCGGAAGACTTGAACCTGTAATCGTCTGACCTGGAGGCAAGTGAGCTACCAACCGAGCCACGCTGACATCATTTAACAGCAATTTCCTGGCAGAGTGCTTCTCGGGCATATTGAAGCCACAGGTGCTGTGTAAATGCAAGGGTTTTATTGTAATGTCTGTGCGTTGCAAACATAAATACATTGTCTTCTCACAACTCGTGCTGTATACACTGCTCTTGTAATACCAATCGACTTTTGCAAGACTTGCGTTTCATACAATGCCCGCAATATCAAAACAGCAGAAGCACTTCACAGGTAACTGCTGCCAAATGTAGTGATTATTTGTAGGCAAACACGGTGGGGCAATCTGCACACAGCAAGGACAAGTGGTTCATGAAGTGAATGAGCTATTTATCTAGAGGGTTGATGACCAGGATAACAAGAGAAACTTCCCTTCTCTTTTCCAGTAGTGAGTGGCACGGGAATTTTAACCTTTGCCCGAACAGGCAGACGAGAGCTTGGCCCAATATCTCGTGTGACGGACTGCACCTCTTGACAGTGCCTCACAGCCGCTAGTGCTGAACTGAAGGGTCAGTCTACCTGAGAGTTTAAAGTGCAGATGTGGGGCACGTCTGACCCAAAGGCAAGAGTGCTACCAGCTGAGCCACGCTCGCACCTCCCTCCACCGCTTGTGCCTTTACATCTTGTGATTTCCTCACTGCCCTGCATTAAGTAAAGCATTTCTTTAAAACTGTGAAAACCGCCATATAATTGCAAATTCTTTGCCACTTTTAAACCGAACACAAGGTTATTGCTGTTATTCGTGTCACGGTTGAAAGTGTATGACATTATTAGTGTATGGGGAAAAAAAATCAAAGTTGGAGCAGAAATTGTTTTAATTGAGAGCCGATCAGATAGTCAGTACTGAAAGGGCATCAATTGAGGATTATCACCAGTAGAATACTTTTTTTGACGTATAGGGTTGGTAAGACTGGAGTGCTTTAGCACAATTGGCAGTTGAAGTTGCGTGTGTGAAAGGAAATTGGATAACATTTCAAAGAAAAAATAATAAATGGTTCAGTTACATTACAGAGTGAATTACTTCAGTGTGGGAGAGCAAACACACAGTGGCTCTAAGGGTCTGTAAACTTTCGATGATATCCTTAGCTGGTCGACAGCAAAGAGTTTCATGCTGTGGTCTTTGTAAATTACTAAAAAGCTATCTGACTGCGTGCACTGTATTTTCCCCTTCCATTACGTAATATTTATTGTCAAAATTCCAGAGTTAGTAACTTGACACAGTTATCATGACTTGTCTCACTGTTGGGTGGGAACTTTATGGAATTAACTGTGCTCCTGGCATGAAAGGTGCTAGAAAAATGCAATTTGTTGTTGTAGAAGATGAGCTATTGTGGTAGTTGCCTTTTAAGACCACTTTTCAAACCGGCTGAGGTAGAAACTTATTGTTGGATGCAGTCTTCCCCTTTCTCCCATGAGATACTCAAAGGGAATATGAAGCAATTGTTTATTTGTGAGCGTTGCATTGAGTATTTGTTAATGAATGAGATCAGGTTTACTGTAGCCATTTCATTCTGATCTAAGTCTTCACTGCCCTTTTTATTGCCTTTATATAAAACGTTTTCTTGTTTCTTACCTTAAAGTCTTAAACGGCATCAACTTCATGTCACGGTTGAAAGGTCCCTTAGAAGCGGTTAAAAAGGTCCCTTAGAAGCGGTTGAAAGGTCTCTTAGAAGCGGTTGACTACTCAGTGCTGTATAAATATGAGTGAGAATGCCCCAAACGGTCTAATAGATTTATTTTAGCTTCCTCACTCTGTTGGGTACTTTTTCCTGGAACCACTCTGTCCTGCAGTTCCTGGAGTTCCAGAGAGCAATACCAACATAAAAAGGTGGTATTGAAACACTCAGGTGTTCTTCTACTTGGAATGGAACATGTGTGAGTCAGTGGGTATAGTTTTAGGGTTGCAAAATGTGTGTAAGAGAGAGTGTTATTACTGATGTACAGTGTTGAGAGGTGGAACAAATTGCAGCTGTCTTGCACTGTTTTACCCTTAAGGAAAACTAGTCATGAACACAACATAGCAATGCTCCTTGAGAGTCAGGGCACTTACACTGTCTTTTTACCAAGAGCAGCTATAAACGGGTTAACGGTACATTGTGATGCAAGGTTAGAATCGATAAATAAGGGGTATTGGCAGATTTACCAACATTCCCAACTTTCTTTGGGAAAAAGTATTGCAAAGATGAGACCTTATTACCAGACAGGTTATAATAATAATCCTTGCATTTAATATGATAATCCTTGCGATATAGCGCTTTATCATGTCTTTGAGACGTCTCTAAAAGCGCTTCACAAAATATACTGTGAAGTGAATTGACTATATTTTTTGTGGGCGAAATGCGGCAACTAATTGCACGCCGCAGTGTCCCACAAACAGTCGTGGATTGAGTGACCAATTTGTTATTATTTTTTGAAGGAATTATTACTCCCGGAAAAGCGAACCGCCAATCACTAATGCCTTATCATGTCGTTGAAACATCTCAAAGTGCTTCACAGATTATACCGTAAAGTAAATTGACTATTTTGTGTCAGTGTTTCATTGTTTTTTTCCCCTTTTTCAGCCACTACACCCCAAAACTGGAACACTCTTCCTTTATCCCTCAGCCTTGCCCCTTCTTTGCCCATTTTCAGGTCGCGCCTGAAGACCTTCCTATTCGACCGTACCTACGGTCACCTTCCCGGCTCGGAGTCGAGCTCCGCGACAATGCAAGTCAAATTTCTCACTCTGCACTGTTAAACGGGGTCTCAGAAAGCAAACTGCAGCTTTGCATCAAATCTTTGCCTGTGACATTTGATGCCTTCGCACCTCCCTACCTTTCCGACTTGCTCACCCCCCCATTCCTCCACCTGCTGCCTCCGCTTGGCCGGCTCTGGCCTCCTGTTCGTCTCTCGCCCCCTCCGCTCCACCATCGGTGGCCGTGCTTTCAGTCACTGTACCCCGAAGCTTTGGAACTCACTCCCCCAATCTCTCTGCCTTGCCGCCTCCCTCCCCACTTTCAAATCCTGCTTAAAGACCTTTTTGATCGTGCTTACGGTCGCCTCTCCCCTCCCTCTCTCCTGGCTTGGGGGTCAGGCTCTGCCATGTTAAGCAGTCTGGAACGCTACCTGGTGTGAAAGGCGCTATATAATTGCAAGTTGTCGTTGACATGAAACTGCAAAGTACAGGAGCAAAGCTCAAGCCTTTGTGAATATTGTGACTACCTCAGCGTTAGAGTTTACTGATGTCCTCTACATAAAGTAAGGAAATATAGTTATTCCCTAGCCATTTCTGTATTCTCATGGCTTTTGCACAAAAACATTTTAAAATTATTTTTGCCTATAAATATGGAATATTTGAGCTGCATCAGAATATTTGAGTTGCTTCAGATTTTAGAGTTAACTTAAACAATTTAAAAACGCATCACAACAACAACTTGCTTTATATAGCACCCTTCACGTAGGTCTGTGTCTCGAAGCACTTACACCTACCTATCCCAAGAGAATGATCCGGACTACTCAGGGTTCTGTGTTTCTGATGCTAGGAAGTACCAGGAGTGATCTTGTCCGATTAGGTTTAAAACCCTGTTAGATTTTGTACCAACGTTAAGTGGAAAGCACCTGTCTCTTATCCTCAATGGCACACAGAGGCAAACAGGAATTCACCTGGTTTGGAATTCATACTTAAATAGTTTTTAGGTAATGGGAGTTTAGGGTAAATTGTCTTAATGTTTGTTCAACAATTATGCATTTTAACACTACAAAACTGAATTGGGGAGGTCCAAACAGTGTCCAGATTAGTGATTTACTTTGAATTAGAGATATGGTTAATCATAGGCCGACTTTCAGTTTGAAAATTTACAGGCCCTGTTCGAAACTAC